AGGATTGCAAGTTTGAGCTCAGCCCAGACAATTTAGTGAGACATTGTCTCAATGAAAAGGCCCTGGAAGGGGAGTGAATTGTGGGGCTTAGAGCTCACTCACTGTTAGGTGGGGTGTTGGTGAGAGGGTTCGGGGGGAGCCTGGAGGAATTTGTCTCCTCCCCCCACACTCTGTTCCCTGGACACCATAGCTAGGGACCTGGAGCCAGCCAACTGTGGACTGAAACCTCTACAAAATGGGGCAAAATAAAGCCTCCTCCTTTAAGTCTCAGGTGTCAGATGTGGTGTCTCAGGAGCACAGAGTGACTGGCCAGACCTGAAGAGGTGGCTGTCCCAGGAAGGGGCCCCAGGGTTCCCTGGCTCCTTCCAGAGTGTTTGGGGGTGATGTTGTATTATTCGTAAGAGTGAGAATTGGAGCACCTGAACGCCAATGTGGCCAACAATGATTTATTCAGAGTATAAGCACTCAGTGTCATTTGAAAATACGAAGATAGTTGGACATATATAGACCGTGGCTATAATTTTACTGAAAAGCTGTGCACACGGGAAGCACCGGGCATCTTCATGACATGTTGTTGGTATTATTCCTTGCGGTTGGGGTTACAGGTGTTGTGTCAGTACTTCCCACCCACCGTGGTGCGGGCCAGGCAAGCGGGGAGGGCTGAGCCCGAAATGCTCAAGGGTCACCAGCTAGAGGACAGCACCAGAATCTGAGATGTGCGAGGTCTTCCCTGCCCAGTGCTTGCTCTGTCCCTGGAGGCCTCTGATGGTCCCTGGAACCCAGCCCTGCCCCGCTTGGGTGTTTGCTCCCGAGCCACTGCTTTTCTGTGTCACCTTTATGTTTACCCTGTTGTTTGGCAGCCTCTGTGGACTCAAGGTCCTGGGGGAGAGGGATGTCACCCTTCAGGCCTGGAGCCTGGGTGTGCAAAGCCCAGGTACACATCAGTCAGAGCCGGCTGCACTGGGGCGGTGGTGGGGGTGGGGTGTGTGTGTGTGCGTTCCCAGCCAGAGGGCGGCTCAGCTGCAGAATGGCTGTTGGTCTCTGAGATTAAGCCCGGGAGCCCCTACCCGGCCTGGCTTCTCAACCACAGCTGCTGCAGTTTTGGCACTCAGAAGGCTCCAGTGTGAGCTCCGCAGGTGCAGGTGTGAGGCGCAAGTGTGCAGTGCTGAGCTGGAGCTCCACACGTGACTCCAGTTTGACACAGTCCCGGGCTGACACCACTGCCCTAGTTCAACCACTTTATTTTGTGGGCATGAAATGATCCAGGTCATCCAGCACTCTAGGGATGAGGTCTCACAAAGAACAGTCCTGTCGTCATTGCAGTGGCTGTGCAAGCAAACCAGAGCTAATCCCTGCCCTGGTCCCAGAGCCAGGGCATCTTTGGGTATCACCTGCAGCGGGAGCAGAGCTGGTGGTAGGGTGCTTGCCCCGAGGTGACATCCTCCACCTGTGTTTCTCTGCCATCTTGTGGGAAGGCCTGATCCTCTTCAGGGTGGTGGCCTCGCACTCCCTGGGCTGGCAGACTCCTTGCGGTCCCCAGCAAGTGCCACTCACATGCTCTGCACACTCAGTCCAAGCGGCAAAACACCGACACTGTCTTTGACCCAGAGAGAGCGGCAGCTGTACGAGCTCCCTGAAATCGGGGAAGTGTGTGCCTGGCAGGGAAATTCGGAGCATGTTCTTAGGACGCGGCAGGGCTTTGCCTGTTCAGTCCTCGACTGCTTTCTCTCTCACAATAAGCACCTGGGGTTTGTACTGTCCCTGTAACCCTGACGAGGACCTTGTGGTGTGCATGTGAGACTTGGGCCCCTCCAGCGACCTTGCGGGGCTCCCTGGTCCTCCTGGTCCCAGAAAGTGACCAGCTTACAGCTGGAAGTGTGAGTTGCTCTGCTGCTTGCCAGCCCTGCTGCAGGAGGGCCCTCCGCCTGGACACTGTAGAGTGAGTTCACCCTGATTAGGGCTTGGGCCTGCTGGTGTCCCCTGCCATTCCAAGGGCCTTGGCACAGTCCTTTGTCCCCAGCCTTGTGTGGTGATGGGGCAGGGTGGGGCTCAGCTCTGTTGCAGCCTTGGGGTGGGTCCAGGGACAGGAAGAGAGAGGGCTGGATTTGCCTGCCAGAAGTGACAGTGAATCCAAGCCAAGCCCCTCTCCCTGCCAGCCAAGAGGCGCTAAGTGTCCTCTTGAGCCTGGTGCTGGCTTAGGTGCTGCTGGGCAGGCAGAGAAGGCCTGTTTTGTCCTCTAGAGGCTCCCTGGGCACAGGAGACATGGATCCAGGGCCCACTGCTGTGACAGATGCTCCTGAGGCTGTGCTGAGCCTGCATCACACATCCACACCCTCGGCACCACTCAACTGAGGCTGTGTGTGGTGGCCTCCTTGAAAGGACAAGGGGCTTGAGCTTGTCCAAGGGCAGCAGCTGGGAAATGCAGGGCTGGGCCGGTGCCCAGCCTCTCTCGGGTCCGTGTCCTCCCACCACCCACTCTGGCCCTCTCCCCAGCTCCTCTCTACCCACCAGGCTCACGTGAGGCAGACAGCATTGTTTCAGGTCATCAGTGGCTTCCTCTGGACTGCAGGGACCAGGGTGAAGCTGGGGACACCCCAGGGTGCCTGAGCTACAGCCCACATCTGACTCCACAGCTGGCCACGGGGTGAGGTGTGGTAAGGGCTCACAGGCAGGAAGAGATGCTGGCCCTGGTGTCAGCTGCCATTCCACAGAGCCTGGGCCCGGCACCTCCAAAGGCTCCCGGCCCCTCCTGAGTGGTGTGCGTGGTGCCGCCGTGGGAGGAGGAAGAGGTGTCCAAAGGGTCCAGCGGGGAGAAGCCCACACTCACGGGTAGAGCAGGTGAGTGCCCGGAGAGGACAGCAGGAGCCCCTGGCTGCCAAGCCTCGGGCACAGGGAGAGTAGGATGGGGGCTCCCTGGGAAAGGGGTTACAGGCTGGTCTCTGGCACACACACTCGCCTTGCTTCCTTCCTGTGGATGCTTCCGGAGCAGCCATGAGACCCACGCTGTGTGGCTGTCCTCTGCAAGATCTCCCCTGGCCTTGTCTTTGGGCCCAATTTCTCCTAAGTACCTGTCCTAGACAGCTAAGTTAGGCAGAAATAAGCTAGGCAGGTGGTTGAGCAGGGCTGGACCCCGTCTGTGCAGAAGACAACCATGGCTGGAAGGGTGCTTGCTGGCTTCCAGAAAAGATGAACTGCTCACCCGTGTACCTCCCCTAGGGGTGAACAGCAGTGGTTGACACTAAATAGACATCAGTCACCTTGGGTGGAGGAGCAAACCTCCTTAAACCCCCTTTCCAGGAAAGTGCTTATCCTCCCACCTGTGCTTGCTGGGTGACTGCCCCCTTTGCTCCCCATTTAATCAGTACTGGCTAAGCGACACCAGTTCTGTCCCACCTTACTCCAACTCAGTGTTACCCCAGCGACTGCACCTGTAATCTCATTAGCCCACTGTAGTTCCACGCCACCTCCAACCTGCCTCACCTTTGTGGCTTTGTTCAAGAAACACCCTTGAGAAGTGGGGTTGGCTGGGCAACCCACTTTCTGGGCCTCTTCTGGTTTTTTTCCTCTTAACTTCTGTTCCTGGAATTTATTCCTTGCTCTTAAGAGAACACAGACCCAGCGTTGCAGCCATCTAGCAGGTTGGGAGTTTCTTTCCCCCATGTTACTTCAGGGCCAAGGTGGTCTTGTTAGACGCAGGCGGGGCCACACTGGGACCGGCTCTCCCTTGGGGTGGATGGGGCTTTCAAACACGCAAGGTCATTTTTTTCCTTGGTAGCAGGAATTGAACCCAGGACCTCATACTTGCCAGGCAGGCATTGCCACTGAGCTAAATCTCCAGACCCACAAGGTCACTTTCTCTACATAGCAGTGTGGATGAAAGGGGGGCACTGTCACGGGGCGACATCCCTCGACCTTTGAGTACTTCTTAGTCTTGCTAAATTGCCTGGGTTGGAAGTAAACTTTCGATCTTCCTGCTTCGGCTTCTCAAGTGGCTGGGGTTTCACACGGGCCCTGGGGGCAGGCGAGAGTTAAGCCCCCACCCCATTATGGGTGTCCAGGATTCCTGGAGCCCTCTGGGCTTTGTACCTCTGCAGCACTTTCAGAAGAGAAGAATGGCACTGCCCCGCCCCCCAGACAGAGCCTGTCTGGCTCAGAACCAGCCCCAGCAGAGCAGGGAAGGAGGCCCTGGGAACTTTTCTTTCTGTGGCCCAGGGCGTCTGGGTGGGATGGGGCCAGAATGCTCTGTGGAGGAGGGAGGGGACAGCTGGAGGGGAGCCGTGAAAAGGGATCACTGTTCCCAGCCCTAGGGGAGCTGCCTATTGCCAGGGCTACGAGAGCAGCTGTGAAGAAATGTACGCACTTGCACATGCGTGGAGAATGTGAAGAGCCCTGGTGGCAGGCAGGGCTGTTTTTTAGGGCCCTGCTGCCTGGTGTGGGGTTGGTCTGACAGGTCACCCCACGGGTTTGGTGGCCAAGCTTGGGGGCCAGCAGTTGGGGGAGGAAGCACAGATCCAAGGAGCAGCTAGAGGAGGGTGCACCCCAGCAGCCTGTACAGTGGAACACCCGTTTTGAGACCACACCTGCCAAACCCCAGCAGAGCTCCATGCACAATGGGGTCTCCGTTTTTCTCGAGACAGTCCTGCTTTATAGTTCAGGCTGGGCTTGAACTCTCTGGGTAGCTCTGGCTGGGCTTGAACTTACAGTAATTCTTCTGCCTCAGCCTCCCGAAGGCTGGGATTGCAGTGTGTGCCGCTGTGCCTGGCGGCACCCAAAATGGACCATTTTTGTTGAACTAATTTTTTGGTAACTACTTTTGAGGTTGGTATAGGACAGAGAAAGATGGCCAAAAAGGTAAACTAACGTTAAAGTAAAGCAGTAAGCTGGGCTGCAAAGCACTTTAACTGCGCTGACCTAACAGCCACACAAGGTTCTGACTAACTTAGAGCTGCTTGCTTCCACACCAAGTTTGCTCTCCGCAGGACAGAAACAAAGTAACCATCAAGACTTCAAAGGAGATTTATTTTCTTTTAGGAAGGGTTGAGGGGGACTTCACAAGAATCTGAAGCCAGTAACTAGAAAGGAAGATAAATAAAATACAAAGCCAGTATGTTGTGGTGAAACTCCAGAAAACACTGAAAAAAATCTTTACAGTTTAAAACTGCTTCACTTTATACATAATTACAAATTAATATACAGCATCTGGGTTGTGACCCATCTTTTTACTGAATAGGAGTTAGCACAGAATGCTCATACAGCGTTTGGGAACGGCTGCCCCACCTTCCTGCTATGGGGCAAGGGACACGAACAGCCAGGCTCACCAGACGCGATGCCAAGTGAGTGCGCTGGGACCCCCATCTCAGTGGTGCAAGGGCAGGGCACAGCTCCAAGGAAGGTCCCCACAGGGGCCCAGAGGGACACTGGCTCCCTCTGAGGAGGACAGGCCTCCGGGGGCCAGTGGGGGCTGCCCAGCCTCGAACCTCAGTGAGACCGAGGATGACTGATAGCCTACCAGTCTCTTGACAAATTACAATAGATAAGCATGTGGAAAGGCCCCGCTCCTTCTCTTTTCCTTCCTTTTTATGGCAGCATTAAAATACTTTTTGTTTCAATTCCTGGCCAGCAGGTAGCAGATTCCAAAGCTCTGGTTAACTAGGAATGTTATGCTACAATGAAAGAAAAACTATGCACCCAAACCCAACAACCCCTCCCCTTGGTCTTGGAGGAAGGGTGAGTTCAGCAGGGCTGAAGGGACAGCCCAGGACACTGGTGAGTCCACAGCTGGTCCTGCTCAGGGAAGGAGGCCTTCTGCACTGCCTGGAACCACCCCAAGCCCACTACCCAGGACTGTCTGCACCTCCTCCTAGGGCTGCTTCCTCTGGGCACAAGTGGCCACCCATCCTCCCAGTAAACTTTTAGCCCCAAACAAATGCCAAATCCTTGCAAAAAAACAGGCAGCAGGAGAGCATCAGGGGTGAAGGAACACAATACAGAGTACTTCTATTGAGGTGCTTTCTGACCTACCCTTGATTTAAGGCAGGACCTATTAAGCCCTGTGCACGCAAACCACCCACCAAGAAAGGAACAAACAGGACCCCAAAGATCTCAAAAATATGTGCCACTAGCACTAAGGCCTAGGCAGGCAATGTGGAAAGATTCTCGGAGGAGCAGCTCTTAGTGGTATAACCCTGAGACGTGGGCAAGGCAATGGCAGGGGTCGTACCTTTTCAAGAAAGTCTTGAGAAGGATTTTCTTCCTCACAAGACCACTCTCCTAGGGCAGAGGGAATGTTGGCAGAGCCAAATATGGCAATTTGCATGTTTTAACCTTCTCCATTTACTAAGGAAACAGTTTATATATTTGATTGTCTCAAAAATGGAGCCAACTGAGGAGACAGCTTTTAAAGTGCACGTCACCCAACCAGCTGGGGGGACAGCCACTGAGATGACTAACTTTCGGGGGCAGGTGCAGTGTCCGTTCAGAAGTGCACTACAAGCTGGCTGGAGCTGGGGACAGTATTTGAATCTGTTCCTCAATCACAATTTCAGGCATCTGATTTCTTTAGCCTGAGGAAGAACTATGGCTTCCTAGTGTGGGAGACCATAAGGGAAAAACAATCCAGGTCCCTGGAAACCATCCCCGGGGCGCTGACTGGGGAACTAGAGCAGTCTCGGGGCACAAGCAGAAGCACCACAGCAGTTATCCTGGGTAGTTCCCAAGCACAGCAACCAGTCCCAGAGGCCAAATCCAAAGGGGAACAGAGAGAGCAGGCAAGTGAAAGCACAGTCCTCTAAGCATCTCCTGCACAACCACCTGTATTTCTGCAGGAGAGCTGCAGTGCAGGGGAAGTCAAGACCCGACCTTCTGAGTTCATCTTGCCCAACCAGAACCTGGCCACGTTCTGAGTGAGCGAGGGGTGGGGGAAGAGGTGAAATCTCCCTTTTTACAATGACCTGAACCAGCAAAGCAAGGGAATCGGCACAGCTGGGGCGGGGGAGTAACAGACACCTGAAGATAAACATCACACCTGCAGGGACGCATGCACACGGCTCCTCCCAGCTTCCCGACAGCACCTGGCTGGGGCTGGAGCTGGAGCTGGGGCTGGGGCTGGAGCTGGAGCTGGGGCTGGAGCTGCTAGCCCGGCCCCATGGGCTCTGGGAAAGGTCATGGCAGGCTCAGCTCTGCCTTGGAGTTGTGTGGACTGGAAGCAGCAGCTGACTTTGCTGTTTTGGGTCTTTTAGTTTCATGTAAAAAAAAAATGAGCTGAGTTTGGCCTAAACCGTACTAGTCCTCAAGGAAGAAGACGTCCCTTGATAAAAGCCCTATCGGGAGTAGGGGAGAGAAGGCACAGGGCCTCCCCAGTGCCACCTCAGAGTCCAGCTGGCTCTCAAGGCACCTGAAAGAGAGGAGCGAGCAGTGCTGGCTGCTCGGCACTCTCTGCACTGATCAGCTGAGTGAACTGCTGGGCTAGAACAAACACGACACACACACACACAAATAAATAAAACAAATTTAGGCTAAAATTTTAAACCAGACCTCTTTCAAATAAACTGAAAGATAAATATCCATCTGCAAGGCCAGCTTGCAATTCATCAACAAGCACCACGTTACAGATTTTTGTCTTTAGAAAGAAATGTTCAAAGCCTCATGGTTCTGAGAGGCAAAAAGCAAGAACTGAAGGCCACTTACGAAACACAGCATTTCCAGGTTTCCTCTGCCAGGAAGCAGCATGGCGGCACAGGGAGCCTCCAAGGGAGCCCTTACCAAAGAGCTACCCTGCCACACCAGCAGTGAAAGCCTCAAGCACACAGCTCGAAACGGGGAAGGGGAAAGAAAACCCAGGCAGCCTGTGAGACCTTCGTGGGGTACAGCACAGTTAAAGGGCTCTGGATTTAAACAGTTTTTCAGAACCGCATTTTGCTGAGGGAGGCCTAACAGAATGAGCATGCCTCTGCTGTGGGGCTCCTCCCTCTTGTGCACACGCGGAAACGGTACACCAGGCTTAACCCTACACCTGCACCCACCGCTCAGCCAGCCATCCTGGGGTACCTCGAGGGGCTCAGGCCATGGTTGGGTTGCAGGTGCGAGACTGGAAGCTGCTTGGCTGGGCACCCCAGTGGAGCTGTTATGAGGACTCTTCTGAGTGCTCAGTGAACCCCAAAGTATCGCACTGCAGGGCTAACACTGCGATGCCTCTCTACGCCCTCTGTGCCTAGGAGCTATAGGCAAGTATCTTGGAAAGTCCAGTTGGTTCTTTGGAATTTGGGGAAACAGTCTTTTGTAAGTTAAACCTGGGAAATCAAGATCAAGGTGGTTTACAGATCTTATGCTTTTTTTCCTTTATCCACATCAAGAACCCTACCACTGGTTTCACAGGTGTCTGTCACCCCTTCAAAGATGAAATGAGAAAAGGGTGACACAAGCATAGAGTGGTTTACAGGGACCCCACCTCCGTGGGCTATGGTGAAGCGGAGGCCCCTGTGGCTGGGCTGAGCAAAGCTGGGGCACTGAACATGCGCACAGATGCAGTCCTCCCTACCTGTGTGATTCTGCTGTGCTCCCCACATAAAAGGGAGACCCTTAGGGATTCCTGACATGTCCCAAACTATCCCCTCTACTTCTGGAGCCACAACTTTCAGGTTAATGTCCTGAGCACAGCCTACCCAGCCCTCAGTCCAGAGCAGTCACAGATCAAGCCTGGAGTGGAGTCTGGGCCGCCTCCCTGCCAACACTCAAGACCATCTGCTGCTTCTTGTGCAGGACCTGGGGTGCCCAGGACGATGCTGGGGAGCAGTGGACATCCAGTGTGGAGACTTGTGCGTGAGGGACAGGAGGAGAGGCAGGAAGGCACGGAGGCCAGATTTGAAGGAAGAGGTCAGCAGAAGATCTCCTCACCCTCTGCTGATGCTTCTGATGCAGGGCCGTCTGAAACAGTGAAACCAAGAATGAGAAAGAAATCCCAGACACCTTCCTTTCCATCTCCTTTCCTCCACTTGGGCCAAGTCTGCTGTGATACACAAGGGTTCTGGGCTCATGGACAGTGAACTGGACACCTAGGGGTTCCAGGCTGACTCGGCAAGCAAGTGCTAAACTTGAAATTTTAACCTCAGCACTAGAATTCTATCAAAAGTCCTGAGAAACACAAATTTTTTTTTAACCTCCTACGTAAAAAGGCAGCACTCAATCCTACTAACAAAGTACAGGAGAGGATTCAGGAGAAAATGGCATAGGCTGAAGGGGCACTTAATACAGTTTAACCACAGGCTCTGGGTTTACCGCTGAAATAGTCTCTGGGCTTCAGTTTCTTCATTTCTCCTGGCCACCAGGAGCATCTACTTGACACAGTCACTACAGGATCCAACTGCTACTTGTTATATTACCAGTCGCTGGACTAGGTCTAGACAGACAGGAGGGCCTGCATGTGTTCATCTGAGGGGGTTCCAGTTCTTGAGTCTGAAACTAGGACTTGTGCCCTTCACCTTGCTTGTGTGTGGTGCACAGGATACGTCCTGACACTTACTGCACGCACATCCTACGCTCGCCCAGCAAGTGGCTAAGGCCAGGGTGACGACAGCCTGACTTTCCTGCCTCTGAGCTGTGCCCTCTTCAGCTGCTCCCGCTCCTTAGAACTCACAATCACTGTGGGACCTGGGGGACTCACCGCCTGGCTGGGGGCGGCTTCCTTTGTTCTTCTTCTTCTTCTCCTTCTTTTCCTTTGGCTTAGCCAACCCAAACAGGCGGGTGGAGGTGGAGGTGCTTGAAGGGGCCTGGCTCTGCCCCTCTGGCACTTTGTTCGTCTGGCTGGTTGAACTCAGTATGTGAAAAGGCCCCTTATCTTTGTGTGTCCGAGAGATGCTATTCCTTTTGGGGGACACTGAAAGTTCTGAGTCCAATGATCCTGACTTGGTCACTGCAGGTACAGAGGGCAAGGACGACTCCTCAGGACTGGGAAGGAAGGACGGGATCCTCATGAGCTTGGTGTGTTGTGATACCTGCACATATTCAAGAGAAGGCATTTTCAGCGGGTGGAGTCAGCACCCAGTGCTCACTCAGTAATTACTGGCTGCATTCAACTTTGTGTGTTGGTGGGTTAGGACGCATCCACACACCAGGACGCACAGGAACTCACTGTGAGAAGGTTCAAAACATTTTAATCTGCTGGACACTTCCCAGTAGTATCTCTGAACATGTTAAAATCACCTTCGATACCATTAATATTTTCAGTGCAGGTACTAATGTCAATAACAAAGATTAATAGTACCTTGATGGGGCAGTTTAGGCCTCCCAATTCATTCCCTAAAGAAACAAGGAAAACTATGTATTTAGCTTTCAAGATTTACACAAGGATATAGATAATTATTTCAGGGCAAAGAGATTATAGACCTCTCCAGATTAGAGGGTAAATCCTGGCTAAAGGTTAAACCAAAGGTAAAGAGGATCATCTGTTCTGTGCTATCTCAGGTGCCTGGAAACTGTCCACTGTCAAAGCCCCACTGATTTTATTGGAGGGAACAGCATCCATCTTTGTGTCATAAAAAGCAACAGAGCAATTTGTTGCTGCTAGTTATGCTAAAACCTCTACATAAAGTGAACACTGCCTCTGAAACTCTGGGAGATAATGCTTTTCCTTCATGGTCCAAGGTCAGTCAAAGAAATGTCAATGTGATAGAGGAGTTTTAACAGACAGAGAGACCCATGTACAAACAACCAGGCTGTCCATGGAGTATCACTCAAGTAAACTCGGTGCCAGTGTGCTGAGTAACTGGAAGCCAGTCTGTAAAAACAGCAGCTCAGCAAGCAGGCATTAAGCCAGGCCCATGTAAGTCTCATCTGCCCAGGAGTCCATCCTCTTGCTAGGCTGGGCTTTGTCCTGTCACTGATGCGGCTGACACTCTGCAAGAGTCCTTCATGAGCTGCTGTCTCTGATCACAACTGCACCTGGCACAAATTTCCTTACGAGGGGGACAAGACAAAGGCAGCTGGGTCCCCAAATCCTAACTGCCATCATCTCAGACGTGCTGAGGCTACTCTAGCTCATGCTGGGGTGGTGGCTGAAGTGCTAGTCGGCCAGAAGGGCTAGTCTGCCCATTCCCACTCTCCAACCTGCTAGACACAACCGGGGTAGAGACTGTCACAAACGTGGGACAAAGCAAAGGTTAAAGTGAGTGTGGCAGCTCTGCGCCCTGCCTCACAGTGCTGGTAGTGTGAGCTGCCTCCTCCCTGCTCAGGCGCTCGGCAGGCTCCTGGTACCTGGCTCAGGTTCCGCTCCATCTGCCTCTGGCTGAACTGCTCCATGTCCCGCCGCAGTTGCTCCTGCTCCCGCTCCAGTTGCTTCTGAGCAGTGCGCAGCCGCTCCAGATCACTCTGGTACACGCCCTTCTTCTGCTGGAGCTCCTCCCAGTCCCGGTGCAGGTCCTGCTGCCCACGCTGCACCTTCTCCTCGCGTTCAGCCAGCCGTGCCTCCCGCTCCCGCAGCTCCCGCTCCCGGGCCTCCCACTCCCGCTCCCGCCGGCGCTTTTCCTCCAGGTGCTGTGCCTGCTGCTTCTGCAAGTTGGCCAGGTCCTGGCGCTGCTTCTCCAGGCTGCGCTGCTTCTCCTGCTCGATGAGGGAGCTGGGACGGGACACACTCCGTGTGAGTGCCCTCTCGGTCAGCACCAGCTTCTGGTCCTCAATGTAGCTGTCCTGCTGCAACACCACACCCTGAGGGAGGCACACAGAGGGCTGTGCAATGCTGGCTGTGGAGCAGAGTCACCTGCCGGGACCCATCCTGTTGGTGCATCTGTGGGCACTGTTTAAGACTGAGTCTCCAGTCCACAGCAGCTCAACTTCAGGGCCCACAGAACTCCACCCACGGCACTTGTGACTTTCCTGGAGAGCCAGGACACTGTTTATCCCTAAGTGACTGACAATGTCAGTGCTCACAACTGAACCTGCACTGTCTCTCTGATAAGGTGAAGGAAGCCCCATACCTGCAGGGTGCTGAGGAGTTCGTACAGATGAACAATGCTCCGGACAACCTGCAAAAAGAGCAACATAGAAACCAGGGCTTGATAAAGTTCAGAACCCATCATGCTAGGTGGTTATGACATCTTTAATATTACAAGGGGCTTGATTTTAATGAAATCTTTTAAAGCTGAAACTATCAAGGGGAATAAGTGAACAGAAGTAGCCAAGAAAAAAGACCAAACAAAATAATGTGTTCATCAGAGGGATACCAGGATCCATCGAAAGTGTTACAAAGTTTCTGTTGTTTAAAGAGACTAAGATAAAAGTGGTATATATACTAAGTAACAGAACAGAAAAGCCTTAAGAATTTAGTATACAAATAGCCGGTCTACTCAATTTGAAAAGGAAGAAGGTTAAATTAATTGTTCGGAGAAAACTGCTCACTTTTGTAGAAAGTTGGGACCTCGGCTCACACACTGACAAAGAATCTGAGTAGGTTAATATGTTAAAAGTAAAAACAAACATAAAAGAGCTACAAGAAAATATGAGCGAAGGCTTTCCTAAAAAGATGAGATTGAAGAAACTAATGTGAAAAGCAAAGAGAAAGCAAAGAAAAAAAAAATCACTGATTTTTAAAAAAGGTTTATGCCAGGTAAGCCTATAATCCCAGCTACTCAGCAGGCTGGGGCAAGAGGACCTCAAGTTTGAGGGCAGCGTGGGCAATCTAGCAAGGTTCTATCCCAAAAAAATAAAAATAAAAAGGCTCTTGTACATGATTGGGGGAAGGAGAAGAGCACTGCTTGTGTATCTGTTTTAAGGCATTTACAAGAGAAACACAACTGGCCAGTTACATGAAATATTATGAAAAATAACTCGAGTCCTGCGTGTACAGCAGCTCAGTCTGAAGTAGAGTACGCTTGCATGCACAAACCCTGCATTCAACCCCCACTACCATAACAGTAAAAAAGAAATGCCCCTTGAACTTACGTAACCAACAAATGAAATTAAAACTGAACACTTTTAACCTAATGAAAAGATACTTCCCTATCCCAAGTATGGGGGAATGAACTCAGGATCTGTGCACTGAGCTACATCTCTGTCCCACTCTGCCTTACATTTAAATTTTAAGACTCGGGATTTAGCTCAGTGGCGTAAGTGCCTAATTAGGTAAACTCAAGGTTGTGAGTTCAATCCCCCCTCCCAATAAATAAATTTTAAGATAGGCACTTGCTAAGTTGTTTGGGTTGGGTTGTGATCATCCTGCCTTGACCTAGTTTTTCTGTTTCCTTTGATGGTACTGGGCATTGAACCCAGGGCTTTGTGCATGTCAGACCAGTACAGTACTCTACCACTGAACTACAACATCCTCAGCCCCAAATATTCTTTATAATGTCCTTACCTCACTGTTTCTTTTAGGCACAAATACCAGGTTAGCATTTCCACCCTATAAAACAAAAAATCGCATTTAAAAACGTATTTTGATGCAAAAGTTATACTAAATGCATTTCTATGTTACACTGTAGTTTCTTATTTTCTACCATAAATTCTCACAGCAAAGATCTGAGGTTGAACTATTTATTACAGAAGTTTTAAGAATAGATCCAGTTGGTGAGGCACCTACAGAAACTTAATGAAACTGGTCCTGGCAGGGCCATGGTAGCTCGGGAATGTAAAGTAAGCACGCTTTATGCTGGGCAGGCCGAGGACACTCTCAGCTACATAGTTTGTGTTTTGAAATGTGCTTTCTCCTGAAAGTTGCAAGTCAGGCATTCAAAACAAGATCAAAGTGGAGTAACTGCTAAGTTTCAAAGAGGTTCATAGTGTGTTCTACACAGAAATACCTTTTTAAGACCGCTATCTGACTCTGTTCTCCTAAGGTCTTGGCCTTCATCTCCTTCTTCCTTCTCACCTCCTAAAACCAAGCAAAGAATACAGTGTAGTTAGTTCAGGGTTATGACATTTATAAATCCTATTAATGCCAAGAAAGTACAAGCCACGATTAAGAATTTCTGTGAAGAAGAACTAGAAGCAGGAGGCAAAACAGTATCATTTACCCAACGTGCTTGGAACCAGAAGTGTTCTGCACTGTGGATGCTGGAGTATCCACATGCATTACTGAAGTATCTTGGGCATGCATCCAAATCAGAAAGTCACTGTTTCACATATGCCTTTAGACAGATAGCCAAAAGGTAACTTTACACAGTACTGTTAGTGTGCCTGCATTCTGACTTCAACCTGACACATGAGTTCAATTGTAGAATATTTCACTGTGGCATGACACTGGCATTTACGAAGTTTTGGATTTTGAAGCACTCTGGATTTGAATTTTTGGGTTAGTGATGCCTACTGTATTACTATTTAAAATGAGTGTCTGACAGATTTTTGGTTTGGGCTGCCTCTACTAGATTCTCAGTGTTTCAGAACCTCATTAAAACATGCACTGAATAAATGGGAAAAAGGAGGCGGAATTGCCAAACCCAGGTCATTTTAGCTGTGTGTGAAACTTGGGGGTTGCTTACCTTTAGCCACATTCATCTGATGGCTGTCAAACCCTCCAAAGGTCTCTGCTCTCCGGGGCAAGGATACAGGGCCAACCATGGCTTCTTGCTCCACAGAGCTGCCGACGGCCTGGGCAAAGGTACCTCCCAGGCTTCCGCTCACCAGACCCTGAAGAAGCTCCACTGCAGAGGCAAAATACACACACATACCTGACTGGGCCTCTGCAGAAGGGTGAACTGATGGCCTATAATGCATGACTTTCCCTGCCCAGAGTGTATCTGCTGTTCAGCACTCAGGGTTTTGTTAGATTGTACTGGAAATTTCAACTGTCCTTCCACAGGTCTGGGAAATTTTAAGTGATCCAGGGAAGGAAAAAGTAATTGCATGAGACTGGCTCCTGGAGTGAGATCCAAAGGAGCCAAAAACAAATCTTTAGAGAGTTTTAAGGAAGGCCAGTTTAAGACCAAAAAAGTGGTGAAGCTTTTGCCTCTCGGATAAAAGTGGGCTCAAGGGGTTGGAGAAGTCTAAGCATGTGAATTCTCAACTCCCACTCCCCTGAGTTTTCGTCTAGGGCGGGGCCCATAAAACTGTGAAAATATTAGATATGGAACCAATCTGAGCAGGAGAGGAACAACAGGAAAAAAGAATGGGCCACATTAAGAAAATGACACAGAGCATATAAGGACCAAAGTCAAAACAGAACAAAAGGGGCTGGGGATTTAGCTCAGCTGCATAAGCACCTGCCTTACAAGTAGGCGGTCGTGAGTTCGATCCCCCGGTACCGATTAAAATGAAAAAGACAAAAAAAAAAACAAAAACAAAAAAAAAAAAAAACCAGAACAAAGCAAACCAACAAGACATGGCAAAACCCAAAGAACTGGAGACAAAACAAAACATAGAAATGATAAATAAATATAAGATTTGTAACATCCAATAAAAAAGGCTTGATAGGAGAAACAATGTTCAAAGGTTCAAAAATAAGATAACAAGAATATAAAAATGATCTGCCAGTGGGTAATAGAAATTTTGGAGTAAAAAAAATCACAACCAGTAAACATGAAAACTAATTTAGGAATAATCTCTAAAATCAGAAACATTTGAAACCACACATTAAAACACGACCACTATGAACTTCAGAGCAACCCAGAATAACCACCAAGGTCCAGTTTAGAAAACTACCTGGATTTAGGGGAAACAAAAATAAAACATCTAGGCAAAGAACATGTGACTTTTATGGGAAAATCAAATTATCATCAGCCTCTGATAGCAATGCTTTAGGCTAGTACAAAATGAAGTAACATTTGAGAAAAATTAAACATATCAGGAGAAGAAAATAGGGGCCAAAGATTTTGTAGCCTACAGACGAGACTTGCAAGTGTAAAGTATATAAATTATTCCCAACATGTGAGAAACTCAAGGGATTATTCTGAGGCTTTCCTGAAGCAGCAGCTGGAGCTAAGTTTCAGATGTCCAGGCCTGCCACAGGGATAGTGACCTATGCACTGGTAGTGAATGCCGATTACATGTTACTACAGAGCAGAAGCTACAGGTCAGGGCCACAGAGGAAAGAACACACCATGAGGGGTTCCAGGCTGACACTTGTGGGGACACTTCAACATGAAGTGCATGAAAACGCTCTCTGGTGGCAGGCACAATAGTATTCTGATTCTGTTGTGTGTGTTTTGAGAGGGGATAAAGACTGACTAAACATAGGGTATCCTGCAAGACAAGGATATAAGAATGAAGGTTCCCAGTGTGAAAGAAAGGTGATATACTTGAAAGAGATTAGACCCACGACAAACCCTGCAGCTCTAGGTTTATCTAGTTCATTGGTTTTTTTTTTTTTTTTTTTTGTCTTTTTCCTTTTTATAGGTACTGGGGATCGAACTCACAACTCCCTGCTTGCAAGGCAAGCGCTTATGCCGCTGAGCTAAATCCCCAGCCCCCCACCCTCTCTTTTTTTTTTTTGTCTTTTTTCTTTTTTTATCGGTACCGGGGATCGAACTCACGACTGCCTGCTTGGAAGGCAGGCGCTTATGCCGCTGAGCTAAACCCCCAGCTCCTAGTCCAACAGTTTGATTCATGTAATTGCTGGATCAAATAACATGAATTCATATACACAGACTCATCCCCCGAGCTCTGTCCACTGAAAAGTCCCAACCTAGTCACAATGACCATCCCAAGGGCCTGCCCGGGCTCTGATTTTAAATAGCATTTTCTACTAGAGTTCTAAAGAAATGGCTGATTCTGTATCTGAGATAGAACATGGACAAGATGGGCTTTAAATATCTTATTCCACCTGACAGCAAAAGAGCTCAGACCACTCTGGTCACCCCACAGGGCTCAGGAGCCGAGAAGCACTCAGCAGAAAGTAGGAGCCTCTGAGTTGTAAAGAGGTTAGTATTCAAACTTAAATGCATAGTATTTTATGTGCTGGTGATTAAACCTGGGTCCCCTTAAGTATAATTATGTACACTACCACTGAGCTACAGTCCCACCTCAATAATAATAAGAAGAGAGAAAGAAATAAAAAGCATGGGTCCAAAAACCAATCTACTATCTTGAAAACTGGTAAAGAGAAAAAACTCCAATAATTTTTTATTCTGCTTGTCACAAAAACCCGGTATTTGGCACATATTTGGTGCTCCCAGTGAAAGAACACAACTTGCCAAATGGCTCAAAACCTCGTAATGATGCCTTGAACACTGCTGTGACTGTGAAGGAAACAGGACAGAACTGCTGTGGGAGAGAAATGAAACCTGCAGTTCAGAGGGAAACTACACGGGACAGAAGGGATTGCATGTAACTGGTGATTACACCCTGGTGGGGGGAGGGCAGTGTGACAGACAGAGCTAAGGAGGGGCTCTCAGGACACTTGGCCACATTCATTTATTAACCTGGTTAGTGGTGGCAAGACTGTTCACCTGATGACTGACTCAGGTGAAATGCCTGTTTTGGCTAGTTTTCTGTACTGTGCTTTATTTCACAGACACAAAGTTGCACCTGTGTGTAAACAAGGGTAGGGGGCGGGATAAAAATTACCCTCATTTATTGCACTCTTCATTAGAGGTCCTCCTTTCAGAGCCTCCTCTGTGTTGGAACGGAAGAGGGTTCTAGGGCTTTGAGCTGGGGAGCAATCATCCGGCAAGGGAGTGCTGCACTGAGTCATGTCCCGGAAAATCATCTCCTTCTCTTCCAGTAGGAGGAGGATCTGCTGGTCCTTTTGTTGCAGTTGCTCTGCAAGACAGATGGAGAAGACCAATATGGTTTGTTTAGCATTACAACAGCGTTAAGGCATGAGCGCCACCTTGTGGTAATTTACAGAAAGGACCTAGGTAGAAAATGACTCCCTGGCCTTTCAAGTTTCTGCTCTGTAACTTCCACTTAGAAAGCCGCCTCGGGTCTCCTGGCAAATACTGGCATATTTATCCTTAAGTACGCTCTCTGCCTTCACTTCCCTGCCCCATTTTTATTTCCTTGGCCTGATCCCTACAACTCTACAGCTGCTCTCATCTCAACCTTTGTTTAGTTCCAGATTTTTGTTAACAATGATTATTTCCTCCTTTGAAACTATCTCCTCCATTTGGAGGAAACTTGCTTTCTGCTTTCCTGCTGTGTGGGTCTGCCATCTGCAATGGTGGGGACACATCTGGGCTGCGTTCTGTGTGGCTTTGCACACCTCTGATACTTTCCTGTGGGGATTCCAGTCATTCCCCTGGGTTCAGGAACCACCTATGTGATGATAATTCACAACAAGCATCTCAAACCCTACCTTTTCTGATGACCAGCTTCTACCCTCAAGTGGCCGTCTTTGCCAGGACACCTTCTTCTCACAGTGTCACAACCCAACCTGTGCACAGGCCTTGCTGCCCCACCTCCCTCCTGTAGCCTGGGGCCTCTTCCTCCGGCAGCAGCTCTTCACCGTCCAGGTTACCCACAATGGAAACCTGGAGAGAGACTGTTTGCTTGCCCTGTGCCATCGCACCACTGGCCAAGCCTTAGTGACTTGATTTCTTGTATCCTTCTCTCCAGCTTATTTCTCACCTACCCTATAATTTCCAGCTGTTCTTGCACTCCTTTAAGCAACTCTCCCAATGGGCTTTACACATGTTTAAAAAAAAAATCTAAAATCATCCCTGTATTTCAAGACCTGCTGCCTTCCCAGGTTAAGCCCCCGTCACTTAGTCCTGACCTTCCAGAGACATGAAACCTGTCGTTCTTGGGCAGGCTAATTTAGTCCTTTTCATTTTTGTACATGACCCTTAATGGCCAAGACAACTCTTTTTCTTGAGAGGTAATCAGGTGACAGCATCTCTGTGGGTCTCACTAGAGGCAGGATAAATAGAATCTCCACACTTCACAGGTGTGTATGGTTCCATGAATCACCATGTAGTCTCCCCTGCTGAAATGTGAGCTTCCTAAGGGATCTTCTTAAATCTTTGCATCCTAGCAGTACACTAAGCCAGGTGCTTTTAACAAATGTTACTAGAAGGAAGATTTTATCTTGGCACCCTATTCATCCTTCAATACATTAGATATAAATCTAGCTACAGTCGAAACCTGTCCATCTGTTTTCTACCCCCTCAGATGAAGCAGAACACTACCACTCTGAATAGCTTGAAGGAATAACTTAACTTTCTGAAGGCTAACACTATCAGCCTGATTTCTACTCAAAGCACAGATTTTACTTTAGAGCACTCAATTAAGTCACTAGCAAAGCAGAAGAATGCCAGGCCCTGCTATTTGTAAGACGGAGATTAGGGTTCTGGCTCAGTCACTAGTTGCATTTTGGATTGTTGGCTTTGAGGTCCACTACTGTTTCACCTGCACAACAAAGATTAGAATACCTGCCTTGCAGTAACCTTAACAAGACCATCTGCAACACCAGGTCTCTGATGCATGGTGACTGAACACAACCAGGAAATACTTTTCTTCCCAAGCCACCTTATAACTCAACTGTGAATGTTATGGATAACTGAGAAAGCCAGGGACAGATAGGAGAATTAAAACAGACTAACGAGAAAAGTCTTTTCCTCAAATATCTTCTTCTGGTTGTTTATTTAATCTTAAGCGTGTCTATAGAATCTGAGAAATTCTCTGCGACAAAGTACAATGAACACCAGCAGGGTCTAAGAACAATGATATTGAAGCAAGACAATAAATGTTCCTTGACCTAGCACTGAATCATTTTTACTCCACTCTATGCCAGGACTCTGGTGTAAGCTGTTTGTCTCCTTGCTGTGGAGGCTGCTGAGACAGCCCTAGAACTGAATACAGCACCCCTGGGCACCATTAGCCACCTTCTGCAGCTGCAGAGATTCCACAGACAAGGGCCTCACACTCCTGCCAACAGTTTACCTTTTAGCTCCCGGGTTTTGGTGTCCAACATCTTTTTTTCTTCCTCATTCTCACTGGGAATTCCCTCATCTTCATCTCTGTTCCTAAGCAACCAACACAAAACAAGATGAAGCAACACATTTCTAAGATGTCAACGAGTGGTTACTGTCTGGTCTATTATGGGACACAAAGGTATCAGGAGAGCCGGGTGGGTAGATCCTGGTGACTCACTCACAGGGTGTTGATTGTATCCTGAATAATCTGAATCCAGCTGTTCCGCTCTTCTTTGGAGCTGGCATGTACCTCCACCATCTCTGGGTCTTTCACTCCCATACTGATTAAGAAAAGACCTTTCTCCTCATGTGCCACTTCTCTTACAATCAATTTCTTTAAAGAGATCACTGTTGATTTTTGGTCCTGGAAAAATGGGAGAGGACACATATTAGAAATGTATACATTGTTTTAACGTTTAAGGATATGCTGGGATTTAGCTCAGCAACATAGCGCCTGCCTTGCAGGCGTGTGGTTGTGAGTTCGATCCCCTGTACCTATAAAAACATAAAAATTATAAAAAATATACTGAAATTAACATTTAAGGATAAATTTCACCTAAGGTAAGATGCTGTTTTAAATGCATACAGTTTTAATAAAAATGACAGCTTTAGGATAAAGAGAAATACCTCATTATTTCATTTAAATTTTAACACACTGTAAAAGATTTCCAAAAAAGGAGGTGACAGTTTATGGCCATAAAAGTTTTGATTGTTTTCTAGATGATGAATCTCTCCAAGTTCTCCACAGAAATACCGGGCAGCATTACTATGCATAAGCATCATTTTGAGGGTCAAATGTTTGAAAAATACTTCAGTGACAGATTTGTAATTAAATCAAATAAGCAAATATATCCAAGGTATGCAAAAGGATTATGAGGGAATAGAAAAATAATTTTGGCAGTAAAGAGAAACAAAAGAAAATCATAACGATTTAGAAGAAATTAACTCAGATGACTCTGTGCTAAATAGATTAATTTTCAGAGAATGGGCAAGCCATAACAAGAGTGTTTTCATTCCATACCAACCCAGCTATTAATTACAAACAAGAAAATAACAACTTCGCTTACCAGTGACGCAAAGATGTATTTCTGGTCTTTTTCTTGAAGGAAAACTAAAATGTCAGTGAGCAGAACTGCCTGAACCTCTGGAAAGAGGAAACAGGAAAAAAGAACAGTGACTACTTAATAGTTGATCAGAGTCAGGGTTTTACTGAAGGACATTCAGTGACACAACCCAAATTCTGAGATCACATGCCTTCCTAAAGGCAAGTTTTACAGTTATGTAGAATTAAGATCTGGACAACAGATTTACACAGTCATTTTAAAATGTAGTTCATCAACAAAGGCTTGTCTTAGAAAATCTTAAGTACTCAGTCCTGAGAAAATATATATTATAAGGCAAAATTTTAGGAATAAAACTCTAACCCTAAATTTCAAACCAAACCTCTAACCCTAGATTTCTTCAAGCCCAGCACCATGCCATATGTCTTTAATCCCAGTATGATGGGAGGCTTAGGTAGGAGGATCACAAGTTTGAGCACGGCCTGAGCAATTTAAGGACTTTAAAAGTGTGACTGTTAAACAAAAAGGACTAGAGATATAGCTCAGTGCAAAGGTCTTGGGCTCAAGCTCCAGTACCAAAACACAGACATCAAGAGATGTGAAATAGTAGCCTACAGCAACATAGTCAGTAATTCTTTCTCATCCTGATTACAGTAATAGGGAACAGCAACCAGGAAAGCTACCCAAAGGTGAGGTAAAGAAATACATAAATTTAGTGAAAAGCCTATTTCTTTAATACTGCCAAAAGAGTACAAATGGTCTCTAGACATACCCTTTGGCCTCCTAAGCACAAACAAGTACAGGGCCCATCCTTAGCTTCTACAGGCAGTAGTCCACTCTTCTCCTTCTCTATACCATGGCAACATCCCTCTCTGTCTCTCTATCACAACTAAAACCAAGGGGGATAGGTGTATTTTAGAATCCATTCCTAGAATATGCTAAGACCTAGGTTCCATCCATAGCTGCTCCTCAAAAACAGCAAAACAGAAGAATTTTCTACTGCTCCCTTACGGATAGTTTGACATCTTCAAGCATCTACTGAGAACCAACATGCTGACCCCTATGGAGATCTTCATTCCGGGAAGTGGAACCTATGATTCCTTTGGCTAAAAGGAGGGAACCAATTTACAAGGCCCCTTTTGTTTTCTTCTTCAAACTCTGCCTCAACTGGGATCCCTTTTCCATAAAATTGACTGTAAAGCTATGAAGGAACAGAAGAAAGGTGTCTGATTCCTAGGTAAGTCTAATTTTTCAGCCCATATACAGTAATTTTCCAAGAATTATCATTAGTTTTGACAATTTTTTTTTTTACTTTTAAGTAATTGAGATGTCTGCCAAAAAAAAAATCTAGACAAGAATTTCAACTTTGTTGAATCCTGAAATACATATGATTATTCTCAGTGGATCAGAGCAAAACAATCCCACCCTTCTTAAAGGATGTTCAACACAATAATGGCTGTTCTTGGCATGAGCTCAGTTGGGGGTGAAAATGACAAAACACCAGCTCCTATCTCCACTGGAGGGATCTCAAACCAGAAAGACTGCCATTTGGCTTAACCACAATTCTATTCCAACAGCTGGACTCTTGGTTTTAATTTTGGGAACGCATACACTGTCAGGTAAAGCAAGTAACAAAACAGTGGTTCCAGACAGCAGCAGCTCTGGAAAGTGCGGCTCCCTGTGAGAGGGCAGGTATTTCAGAACTGCCAGTTGTTTCAGAGACCTGAGTTCAAGCCTCTTTATGCTATCACATACAGCTGGTTGGTGGAAGCAAGGGCCATCTCTCGTCTCTGGTATGACCCTACCTTTGTTTCCAAGCCTTCTATTACAGTGCAGGCCGGGTCATGACTTCTGGAATCACTCAACAGCCTCTAGAGATCCTGTCACTTCTACAGGCTCTACATGGCCCTGGCCAGTGTGAGTCCCTTTTCATCTTAAATCCCTGTGGTGAATGCAGCCTCTGTCACACCAACTGTGGGTACTGTCCGTCAGCCCCAGCCTGGAGTGTGTTCCACCACATCTGGCTCAGGAGTCGCTGCAGGCCTGCTACCAACGCTGGCACTGCTCGCTCAGTGCTGCCTGAGAGGCCCGGCCGCCTTCCATGGCGCCTACCTTCCTACTTCACGTTTCCACCTTACTCTTCCCAGGCACTAGGATCACTCTCTCCCTGTCTGCTGGGCACCTTCTTCTTCATCCTTCAAGACCTGTCACTACTGCTGTTCCCATCCCTCTTCTACTCCAGCCCTCATCACCAGCCAGCAACTGCCTCTTTGTAAGTCTCTTCATTCTGATCCCAACATCATTCATGGGGGAATTCAGCTACTGCCTGGGATGTCTGTTCTAAGCACACTGAGACTACACCAAGGATGCTTGGGTACCCTGATAGCATTTAACTGCATCTTTACACTTCAGAGACCAGAGCAGCACATCCCTTCTACCTTTGTCTATGCCAGGGGGGTGTTCTCAGCTAAGGCCAGTGAGAAGAGGGTACATTCAAGGCTGTTGGTGCAGCCAGAGTTCACAGAGGCCTGTATAGTATTCATGGGTGGAACTCAGTGGCAGAGCCTTTGCGTAGCACTTGTAAGGCCCTCAGTATGATCCCCAGCACAACAAAACTAACCCCTCACTTCCTTAATTTACTGTGGCTAAGCATTTGAAAAGTGAAGATTAAAACCAAATGGAAAATTAAAAATCATGGGCTCTCATGCTTTTATCGTTTGAACAATTTTTCATGCCTATATGTTGTAATCTGAGCAACTACTTTGAAGTTAACAATAAGAAATATATGAGCCACTGTTAATCCTCTACTAACTTGTTTTGAAATTCTGTATCACTGTTTCTTGTCTAAAATAAAAGTTAAAAGATGAGTACCATGAAGTGTAATAAGGTAGTTGACGTGCATTAAACTCACCTTTCCCTAAGTCTCAGAAGCCACAGATCCCCTAGCATGTCTGGGAACAAGTGACAGGTTTGAATTTCACAGACTTCTATCAATTGCCACTGATTTCTCTCTCCTGCCAACTGCTCTGCTATGACCATAATCTCACAGTGGCTGCTCAAGTCTCAGGAGTACGATTTTCTTAATAGCTTATAAGTTGGTATTTTTTTTTTGGAGATAGGGTTTTGCTACGCAGTTTAGGCCGACTTTGAACTCATGCTGTGTATGCTGGCCTTGATCTCATGATCCTCCTTGCTTCAGCCTCCTGAATGCTAGCATCATAGACATGTGCCACTAAACCCAGCTTACAAATTGGTATTAAGCTAATCCTCAAAGAAATTTTTTTGCCTGCATCATTTCTTTTTCTTTCTACATCGCAGACTAATCCTTTTTGATAGAACTAAGTGGTTATTTATCCTCAGTGATGTCTGCATGACTCTAGAAGAAAATATGGTGATGAATTTCCAGCAAAAGCACTTGGATTCTTCCTAATCTCCTGAGGCACAACTCCAGACAGAAGTGAGTGAAGCTTTACCTTTTAACCGTCCTGTTGCGCTCTTCAGGAACACACTCCCATCCCGCACCAGCTTCTTCCGCTTCAAATCCTCCTTGGCAAACATCTGGCCACTCTTCATCCTCATGATCGACTTGCTATCTGTCTTCATATAAATCTCATTGAGACGTACCTTCTTCTCATAACTCGCCACTTTGCTGTCCACAGCTCCAATGACGTCCTTCACCAGGCTCAAGGACTGAGCCAGGTCATCCCGTTCCACTTCACTGTCTTGGGAGGGAAGAACAATGCTATTTTTAATGGCTCCTTTCAGACCAGAATGAAATGGGACGGAAGTGTGCCTTCTTGGTCTACCACATTATCATTTTTCCTTTGCAGTTATGCTATCAGAGTAAAACTGGGCTATCTCTCTGGCTGTCATAAATTTAAATGAAATTTAATTCTAAAGAAGCAAATTCTCCATGATCTAGATGACATGCTCCATTCTAAAACAAAAGAAATCATTTTTAGGGAGGAAGATAGTAGAGAGAGGAGCAACATGTTATTTATGTCTGTTTTATTTAATCTTTAATATACCTTGTAATCTTTAAGTGGCTGGAAGAAGAGCCAAGAGAGAGGAAACAGTAACTGATTAAATGAGAAACAGCAGCAGTTCTAGACTTAACAAGAGAACTGGTGAAACTTGTCTGCCAGTCCAGTGATTGGGGAACTCGGGAACTAAGCTGTCCAGGGGACTGAGCAGCGAATGGAATCAGTGAGCACTTCCTTTACATTTTGTAATCAACCACCCAATGTTTGGTGACAACAGTCTCAGTTTTCACTCAAGCAAGCAGTTTTCAAGATAAAACACAAGAGCTATCTCTTTTAGATTGACAGTATATGAAATAGTTCTTCTATATAGCGGTTTCTAGCATTATTGGACACATAGAAGCATATCACTGGCCTAGACTAAGGCTTTTTTTTTTTCTCTGTTCTTGTTTTTGGGTTTTTTTTTTTTGTATTGGGGATTGAATTTATGACCTTGCGCTTGCCAGGCAGGCACACACGCCACTAAGCTAAATTCCTGGCAGGACTAAGTTTGTTTGTTTCTTTACTTCTGAGTCAAGGATTCAGGCTTTAAATTCATTATGCGGGCCTGCCTGGTCTTGTACTCACGATGATCCTCCTGCCTCAACCTCCCAAATCCTGGGGATTACAAGGCGTGCACCACCTTGCCCAGATAAAAGACTAAACTTAAAAGGGAGACTCACCTTTGGTACACTGCAATATTCGTTGGAATAAAACCGGGTACTTGGTGATCCGCTGGGTTACAAGTAATATGCATTCCGGGATTCCAAGCCTCCTTACCACTGAACTGCTCATCTTCTTCTACAAGGTAATAAACAAACTATTAAGAGTAACTGAGGAAGGTGACCCGCTAAAATCCACAGTGATGTACTGCTCCTGACAGTGACAGAGAGTTTCACACCAATACCTTTACAAAGGCCTGAAAACGCTTATCCTTTGTATAAAGGTCTTTGAAGTAGTTTACAGACTGGTTGTGCTGCCCACAAAACTTGCCGTATGTCTTCTTTAAACGTTCTGCACTGTCACCTGAAAACTGCAGAAAAAAGAGAACAAAGGTTATGCTGTAATTCAGTGCTAAACTTGTGTTACTATTTTGTAAAAAGTTTCCATTCTGTTTGTAAAAGTCAAGAGTACTTCTTTGTAAATTCTCCTAAAGGTTAAACTGATGCAGCAGCTTTAGTAAACAGTTTGGCATTTCATCAAAAGACTTTCATAAGACCCAGCAATCCACTCTAGATGTATACCCTAAAACATGTAATAATCAAAAACTTGTAAACCTATGTTCATGGCAGCATTATTCATAATAGTACCCAGATGGAAATAATGTGACTATTAACAAATAAAAGATGTTATCCATGCAATGGAGTATTATTTGGTCATAAAAAGGAATGAAGAATCATTACGTGCCATGAGTTGTGATGAACCTTCAAAGCATTATGCCAAGTAAAAAAACCATTTATAAAGGATCCCATATTGTTTCACAGGGACAAAAAAGTGTATCAGTGGTTGCCCAGGACTTCCTTAGTGTTTGTGGGGTATGTGGATGACTACTAATGAGTATAAGGTTTTAGGGTTGGGTACCAACAAATGAACCCAGGGCCTTTGCACTGAGCTACACCCCTAGCCAATTTTTATTTTTTTGAGACAGGGTCTCACTAAGTTGCTGAGGCAGGGCTCCAACTTGCAATCTTCCTATCTCAGCCACCTACAGTGCAGGGATTATAGCCAAGTATAGGTTTTCCTTTGGGATCATGAAAATGTTTTAAAACTGACTGTGGTGATGACTGCCTAGTTGTGAACAAAACAATCTTACTGTACATTTTAAATGGGTGGGTTGTATGGCATATATGTATTTTTATCTCAATAGAGCTGTTGCATATATTTAAGAAAAAATTTATAGAAGTTATTTACCATCCCCCTAAAGATTACAAAAGGTTTCCGTCTATTTGTTATGAACACAGTAGCAAATAAGGAAGTTCACTAGAAATTTTTCATGTGACCATGAATCGCAGAAATTTGACCTTAGCCAGCAACAGGTTTCATTATCTAGGGATCTGATTATCCAACTTTCTTCAGACAGGCAGTTCTAATAATTCTGCATGGCTCTTAAATTATTCCCAAATGTGTAGAATCTCAAAGGTTCATCTAAAGATATGTTTATGTGGGTGTAAATCAATGAGTTTATAGGTGGAATTTATATGATGCATGCCAAGCACTGATTTCTATATACGGAAAAAATCTCTGTGGAGGCAACACAAATTTATCCTTACCAAAAAACTTGTAGAAGGCTCAGGGCAGCTTTTCCTCTATTCATTTACCAATGGATAAGCTGAGGCAAAGAGACTGTAAGTTATCTGCTCAAATGGTAAAGCAAACTCCCTAAACCGTTCCTTAGCAATGGCACACACAGTAACAGACACTACGAGACCAGCACTGAAGATCATAAGGGATATACACAGATATAAATGATAACTCAAGCCAAAGTTAGACAAGCCCCCTGTGCAGCTCCTGAAGGCAGAAAGAGAGAAATGGAAAACACTGTTAAAGGGAATGTTTGGGGGAAGGAGAGGTTCTCATTTGTAGGTCTCTTTTTCTTAGACCTTATCTTTTACGAATACTTGGTTCAATGGGCATTTGGGAAATGAAAATTACTACACAGAATTTGCACCTATTTCAAAGCCTTTTTACACAGGAGCTCACTGGAAAATGTCAAAGCCATAGTCACATGAGCGGTCCGACCTGTCATTCAGTAGATACTTAGTAAAAACACTTGAAGAGTGAATGAATATAGTATTAAAATGATGAAGTGAGGGATATGGGCTCAAAAATACAAGGAAAGAACAAAACTTCAAATTCTTAAGACAAATGCTCATGCAATTATGCCTCTCTTCTACAGAGAAGCAGGGATTTGTTGGAGAGTAAGATTGAGTCATATGCCTGTGTTATAGCTGTTTCGGTTAAGGTTACACTTGTATCCTTTTTTTTAAAGAATAATATTTTTTTAAAGAAACATTAAAAGGTGTCTATGACAAACATCTAAAATTACTGAAGTAATTTTTAGATGAAATTTGAATGGAATGAAACCATACCATACTCTTGATCAAAATACTCAAGAAATACATGCTTTATGAAATATTTTATAGTTGCTTAATTTTCTATGCTTCAGTTGGTTTTTAAATAAATGGGATCCTTCTGATTTGAGCAACAGGGGAAAGCAGGTATTCTTTAAGTTCTTAAATTATATTGCTTCTGGTGATAGCATAGATTCTGAAGAAGAAAAACTAACTTTCATTGCCTATCTACTGTATGTTAGCAGTTTTACATATACACTCCCTGTAACTTTCTAAAATAGCATACTGTCCTCATTTTATAAAAAAGGAAATTAAGAGTCAGAGAGGTGACATCACTTCTCCAAGTTTATTCAGCTGTGAGCACGTGGCTCCTGAGCTCCAAAGCTTCTTTTCCCATAGCATGTGAGAAAAGCCTGAGATCGCTCCCCTTGCTCACCTGATTTACAAGCACATCCCCTATCCTCTTGACAAGGAAGTTCTTTTCACTTTTATCCACTAGAGATTCCTTCTTCCGCTCCAAGATCCTCTGAAAGAACTGGCTATGAATACTGATCAGCTCATCCAAACAGGGGAACAGCCTGTCCACCGTCTGCTGCTCGAAGAGGAGCTCTGTCATCATTCCCCGGCTATATACATCACTCATGATCTTGAGTGTGCGGATGTGATGGAACTCTGTCTGCATCAACTCTAAAAGGAAGACAGAGATTGAGGGTCCTTCAAAGACCATCTAGTCCAGCTGTAAGGTGTGGGAGCCCCAACAACTTTAAAAATGGGTCAGTGGCTGTTTTTTTCCTAGCACTGTCATCTTTTTCTCTATTTTTCACATAGCTTAACATTCTTTTCTGATGATAGCTATCCTGCATTCTGACAATTTTAAATGATGATTTCCAAAAAGGTCTTCATTAGATTCAACCCCTCTCACGCTTGAATGCACTCTTAGTTCCCGTAACTGAGTTGTGTTCCATCTACTTTCCACTGTAGCTGGGGAACTACATTGCACTTTCATAAGAGATCTTATTTTAGGACTGCTGTACAACTAAGCACTCATGTCCAAAGCCAAATATGCAACAGAACAGGCAACAGGGGAAGAAAGGAGGATACAAACAAGGCCACGTTTCTGTTCCTCCAAGTTTTAAAGGAAAATCTTTAAAATGCCACATACTCAAAAACTCATTTTTTCACAGGCAATCAAATCACCAGCTTAAAAATGCTTAATCGTGGGGCTGGGGATTTAGCAGGCAGTCTTGAGTTCAATCCCTGGTACCGATAAAAACAAAAAAGACCCCCCCCCCCAAAATGCTTAATCATGCAAGTCAAACACAAGCAGAACAAAATAAAGAATCTCACCATAAATTACTTCTTGTTGTTTGACCACATCTTTCTTTTGCTGTTTCAGAAACTTGCTGTCCACCACCCGACTCCAGGACTCTGCTTCCAGCTGTTTGGAATCAATCTCAAAGTCTCCCATCAGCTGTCCTTCATTCATGTCTGTGCCTACTCCTCAAAACATCAGAAAGGTCAGAGTGAGAACCTTGGCACTGTGACTTCTGAAAAGCCAGGCTAGACTTTTCTTTGGATGATAAATTATACTCAGATATTCTGTATTGATACACAGGATGTTCATGGAGAGCATATCCCAGTACTAGAGAAGAATCAATGTCTTATATTCTAGACTGGATAAAAATAGCAAACATGGGGCTGGGGATTTAGCTCAGTGGCATAAGCGCCTGCCTCGCAAGCAGGCAGTCGTGAGTTTGATCCCCAGTACCGGATAAAAAGACAAAAAAAAAAAAAAAAATAGCAAACATGACATGAATCAAACACAATGAAGGCAGGAATCCTACTATCTAGAAAGAATCTGCTATATTTATGTTTCAAGAGAGCAGCTTTGTAATTCTGCCAACATAGCAAGAGCACAATTGTACAAAAGTCTAGGGGAAGAAAAAGCATTTGTAGTAAAGAGTATGCCCAAATTAAAATGAACGACATCTTTCAAAGGACAGTTCACAATTGCTAACTGTGATTATCAACTCATTATATCGCATTTGAAGATTTACAATTTAGAGAATCTTCATAGTAAGGAGGAGGCAGACAGTATTACTCATTTAACACTAGTATTCTGCAATACCACACAGTCTCTACAGAGGCTAGACATGTACGTATAGCCCATAACTTCCTCTTACCCTCATCAGTCAGTGATTCTGTGGACTCGTTGACCTTGCTGATTTTATTTAGTGAGTCTGTTGAGTGAGACAGGAATTTCCAGGTGTTTGACATATTCTCCTCACTGCCAACTCTGAGAACAAAAATTAAGTTTATAGTGCTGTAATATACACTCTGGTAAATATGTTTGTACTCTTAAATGAGTACCTGCAAAACCCTTAAGTGGTAGTGGCAAGTTCTTCTACAACTGAAGACATTTGATATAGGTATACAGAGAAGTTTGGAAATGTTTAACATTACTGCAAATTCAAACATGTTTAATTTTTCATCCTTTTCTAAACAGTGTAAAGCAAAGAAATTTTTTCTTATTACCTAAACATTACACTTTTGCCTTCCTGTCCTCTAAATAACTGACCTTAAACTTATAATAAACTATATTTTTGACTTTCTTAATCCCAGCTCACCAGCTAGCATTATAAACACACAATGAATGTTTATTGTACAACACAAAAGCATCATTTAAAAGTTTGTCTTTTATTTAAGAATCAACTTTTCAAAGTTACAATGCAGATAAACTTTGGTAACGTTGTGACTTTCAGAAATACTAAAAATACAAACAAAACAAAACAGCCTGAAACTATTTTTTTTTAAGGAAGAAACTTTGACCAACATGGGAATTAGGAAATACAGGCTAACAGAAATTTTATACCCTGTACAATTTCCCCTGAAATGTTCTGAGTCCTGCATTTGACATGACTGACCAGGATTCAATGGACAAGGGAGCATCTCACCCAAACCAGTCCGCAACACAGTCAGCCTCATGCTACCCATCTGACAGGCAATGCCTGAATAGCCTGTAGCCACAGCAACTTTTATAGGGGACTATATAACAGGAGCAGAGGGCAAAGGAATAGGAACAGTAATAACGGGCCCATAATTCACCTCTATGAAACTGCCTTAATAGCTGGTGCAAGGCTGGGAAACATTTAAAAAGAAATGAGGCAACCAGGTTGACAGGTACAACAGAAAAGTGTGATACCTGAAAACGTAACTATGTAGCTGCAAACAAAAATTCATACTTTATTAGCTTTTTTCCTATTATTTTGAATTAAGTCATCTTTCTGACCATTTATTTAATTTATGAAGAAAATGTACTATTTCTTTAATGCCACAAAGCTATTTGGTTCACACACTATGTCTTTCTCTTTAATATGACCAGAGATAAAACTGGAACTCAGGATTCTCAAAAACAGGGCTGATCATGTACAAATGGCCAGGGCAACCAGCCTAATAATAGTGTTTAAAGGAGACATCACAAAATGAGAGCCATGACAATATATTCAATTCCCAATTTCCCCTTTCCTGTCAAGGCATCAACCAGTGCACTAACTCATTATTTTACACTGAAAAGAAGCACCTTTTGTCAAATGATGTGATTATTATGCTCCTGTTACCCAGGTGTCAATGTACTAGCTAAACCTCCACTTACCCAGTGATGTTCTGGATAGAGACACTTTTGGAGAGAGAGACACTCTGCTGGGACCGTCTGTTGGCAAACACTGGGGCAGCTATGGTGTCTTCAGCCAGGAGGACTGCAGATCTGGGGCGCTCCTTGGGCTGTGAGGCTATAAAGGCAGAAGAGGACACTGAGCATTACCGATCCGTGCCCTCCTAGTGCTGACATATTTTACAAATGCCAAACAGAAGCAAAATGCTTTAAATCAGACTTGTCTTTGCAGTGTAAGTTGTTACAAAACCTGAGGACAGTTTGCAAGTAACCAGTAAAATTGTAAATGCCTTATTCTCTGATCCATTAATTACAAACATGTTTATTCCATGAGATATACTCGTATGTCTGAAAAATTATTCAATGCAACACTGTTGATAAAAGCAGAAGATTGGAAATGACCCAAATGAGTATTAAGAGACTGACTAGGAAGTTACAGTACATCATATATTAAAATATGACACAGTTTTTAGCAACACTGAGGACACACTTCATGTACTGACACCAAAATGTGCACTGGGAGAAATAAAAACATTAAGGGGGATAACAAAGCATGTAACAGGCTTTTATGCTTAAAAAAGAAAAACATTAATAGTTCACATATTAATATTTGCTTTAATCTGGTAATTCTGAAAAATAAAAAGAAAAAAAGTTTGTGATATGGGATAAAAATTAGGTAAGGGTAAAAAATTATGTTAAAGTATTGCACATTTTAAAATGTAAACTAATAAAAAACCAGTTTGAAAAGATTTCAAGGGTAAAAGGAATCTTAGAGATAAAGACTAATTAACGCTCTTTGAAACTCCATCTGAAATATCTAAAGAAGTAATTAGGTATGAAACTCTCAGCCCTATTTTGTCCAATTGGCTGGGACGTAGGAGCATACATATTTTACAGCTCCTCGAGTGATTTTTCTGATTATTATTAAGAGCATGGATTTTAACCAGTTTCTCTAATTTATGAAGAAAATGTACTATTTCTTTAATGCCACAAAGCTATTTGGTTCACACACTATGTATTTCTCTTTAATATAACCAGAGAAAAAACTGGAGCTCTAAAATGCTAAAGCAGTCATAATGGCACATGGTGAACAAGTCATTTTCCCTTGATCATGAGCTAGTGTCCAGACATGAGCTCCATCATCTGCCTATGCCAGGCATGTCGAGAGCTGAAGACAGCAAGACCGGGATGGCTGTCGTAAATATTTCAGGATGTTTTTGGATAGGTATCAACATAATCATTCATTTCTGATTAAAATTCTATTATAAAAAATAAAATTCTATTATAGACAAAACAATAAAACACTGTACTCAAAATAGGACATTCTCTAATATCTTGCTATAGAGAGTATTGAAACAAAGATTCTACCCCTACAGAGTATTAGAAATACTGGTTTTTTTTTTTTTTTTAATCGGTACTGGGACTTGATCTCATGACCACCTGCTTGCAAGGCAGGTGCTTATACCGCTGAGCTAAATCCCCAGCCCCGAGTATTAGAAATACTGGTGGAAAATAAAATATGCTTCATGTGAAGAGCCTGAAGCATGCCTCAAGTATTTCAAAAGGTGGGTCAGGTCGGATATACGATATAAAGGAGGAAGAGGCAGTATGTCTTCAATTGTGGAGATGTAGACAGGTCAAAAGAAAGAGGATACTCTCAGAAGAACTGTATAAATCAAGCAGAAAAAAAATCACGTTCCTAAAAAAAGGAAAAAAAGAAGAGGAAGCATGAAGATGCGTATAAAGGAAAAGAGAAAGGATGAGAGAAGCAGATCCTAAAAGTTAAACTGAACAAATTGTGTCCAAGAGGCAAGCATAACAGAATGAAAACAAGTTTTTTTTTTTACTTAGTAGTGCCTTTGAGCTTTATCACAATTAACTGTGGTGATGAAGACAGCAAAATCCATTACAGAGTGCCCATCACCAAGTACTGTATAACTTCATTTAAACTTGACTTCTACCCTACGATTCTATTATCAACTCTCTTCTGCAAAGAAGGAAAATGAGGTTACAGTTAATCAGCAGCAGTGCTAGGACTCAAACCTATATAACCTGAGACTATAAGTTACATTTTCAACCACTAACCTGCCTCCATGAAATAAATAAGGAGTAAATATTTGTGTGGATCAGAGAGAATATACATCAAGAATCTTGCACATAACAGGCACTTAAAAGTTATTTTATCTGCTGTGAAAGAAAACAGGTTTCTAAAAAAGGATTGTTAAGGTCTAGATTTGTAGGCTCATGGAATGGGTTGGATCACGGAGAACTGGGTGTCAAACTGGTAAAGTATTTCTTATAGTCATCTACATGTAAAGACCAATAATAACTATACTTAACATGTCTGAGGGGAATTTACATCATGTGGGAATGCAGACTGGGCTGGTTCTTTTGGTGCTATCGGGAAGTACTTACAGAACTACAGCAAAAAGCAGTGATTCTTACACTTAAGAGAGTATCAAGATCACCTAGAGAATCTATGAAACAGATTACGGGGTTCCACCCCTAGGTTTTTGGGGAGGGTCCAGGTAAAGCCTAAGAATCTGCATGTCTAATTGATCCTGGAATTATACTCTGAAAAACACTGCTTTGGTAAATTCTCACACAGACTCCTAGGGAGCCAATGAAGAAGATAAGTATTACTACATTATTATGGTAAGAGTTGGAAGCAATTTAAATGTTTTGTGGGTCAGCAATAATTTAAAATGTGATACATATGCTTATGAAACACAGCATGCAGCAAACAACAGCTTCTAATAGTAACATGTATAACTTCAAAATTATATGTGTTTGTGTGTTTTTTTTTTTGGTACTGGGCTCAAACTCGTCACCTCATGCTTGCCAGGAAGGCACCTCTGCTGCTGAGCTGAATCCCTGGTCCTCAAAATGATATTGATTGAAAAAATAAGAATATATATACATTATGTAACACAATCTAGTTTAAATTCAGTGGAAACAATTAAGAGACACCTTACCCCATCTGCATATGCCTAAAGGCAGGGTACATAAGAAAAAAAGATTAGGGGATGAAGCATGTAAAAAGAAAAATAAATACTAAGCCAAACCACAAGAAAGCCTGCAAGATTGAAGAGAGTTTTATATGAGTGGAGAGTATGATTTACTCAATTTTATATACCACTTGTCTTCAGGGTGAACTGGAGGAATATAACTTCACACATTTAACAAGCAAGATTTTATTTGATTCATACAACTATAAGGTAATAGTCTGCAAAGGGAACCTGCTCACAGGGCTGCAGTGCTGCCTTTGAAGCTAACTCATACACTGTTACAGAGGCCTTTAAAGACAGTTTGGTGGTATAATGCTAAGCTACTAGACAATAAATCTGTAGGACGAAACAACAGCTCCTTAGTACAGAACAGGTGTTCAAACAGTGATGAGGATTAAGAAATGAACGTCACACAACAGAACCAGTCAAAAATGCATTCTGTGAGGTGGGCTGAGTTACTTACGCTTGTTTCTCATGATGACAGGCAATGATGATGTGTCTTGGGCCTGGAAGTTCCCTTTGGGCTGCTAAAGAAACAGAGTGAATACATGAAGACTGTATTGACAAATCATATTCTGCCATGTTTAGAGCAGCCTAGAATAAAAAGAGAATGGTTCAGCCTGCTTTCTGGCTCTTTCCTTGCCCTGGTCAGCAGCATCTCGTGGCCCAGGCAAACGCACTTGCCATCCTCCTCTGGGGTTGCTGAGCATGCAGTGCTGCAGGTACTGTTTCTCCTCCCAGGCTCACTTTTCTCTTTTTCTCTTCCTTAGCTTGGCAGTCTTTTATTTCCAGATGACTTAGGGACTACCTCCTGCATAAAGCCACCACCAGGTCCTTTCCTTTCCTCACCCAGGGGAGTGCCTGGCACTCCTGGAAACCCTGCATATCCCTGAACATCACTTTTGCTTATTTACATCAAGTGCCTGTCCATCTTACACTCAACAGGGGCATCAGAGCCTTTCTCATGTGTTCCTCCAGTGACTAGCAACTGTAAGACATCAAAGTCATTGGCAAAATGACTTTGTCTGACATACATAAAAATACTTCCAAGAAATTACAAACCAGGTTTGGTGGCACATTTCTGTAAAACTCAACACTCTGGGAAGGCTGTGGGAAGAGCACCTCAAGTTGAAGATCAGCCTAGGTAACTTAGGGAGAGCTTGTCTCAGAAATTAAAAATTTAACAAGGTTATGGATTATAGCTTAGTGTAAAGACCCTAAATTCAATCCCCAATGTCATTACAACAATAAAGAAATTACATACTGTAGCATTTTGATTGAAAAAAATCATTAAACAGGTTGCTTCCAATTTAAAAATAATTCCTCATTTAGGTTATGCATTTTTTTGGGTATTTGTACCAGGAACTGAACTCAGGACCTTGCACTTGCCAGGCAGGCACTATATCCCCAGCTCCAGTTATGCATTTACATGGAGGCATTGCTATTATCTGTATCATCACGGTTCTATAGAACACAGTTGATTCACAAGCCAAATAAATTTTATCAGACATGAAATCAAGGAAGTTACTCAAGGAAGTTCAAATGACAGAGGTAGGGAAGTAATGACACAGAATTTGTGTATCTTTTTATGTAAAAGTAAGGACTCAAAATAAGGACTATGAGCATTATCTAGAAACTTATCAAGATATGTAAAAAAGAGGCAGCAGCTGCACAGATCCAGTTTATTACTTTTTGTCATTTATTCTTCCAGTATTTACAGGCATATAAGCCTGACATCATGCTAAATTCTCAGAGTATTAATGGATCTAAGATGCCTGCCTCAGGCTGTAGTGAGTCTGGAGCTTATGTTCTAGTTACCGAATGATACAAATAATAAAAAATAAATTTAATAAAGGCAGATTATATAATATAGACTCTGAGAAGGTGTTACGTACTATAGAAGAAAGAGAAAGGTGGCAGGCTAAGGCAAACTGGAAGTGCTGGGGGATGGGAAACAACAGTGGGACTGGGCTCATGAGGACTTTCAACTTTCCAGGAAAAACTACAAATCCAAACAGATATGAAATATGACTTTTAAATAAATGCAAAACTACTTCATAAGGCAAATACATGAGCACGGGAGGCAAACAAAATATGACTGTAGGCTGAATAAGTCTGAGTTACAAAGTGTGCCTTCCTTATGCTAGTTTAGTACTTCTCAAAGTAAGGACTATCAGCATGACCTAGATGCTTATCAAGATATGTACATTCCTGAGCCCCATTTCAGAATTTTTTGGGAAGCCCTTGAGGTAACACTGATACACAGTCAAGATGGATACTACTGTACTAGATAGATATATCTGGTTACAGATGACTCATAATACACACTGTTTGTGCAGACATAGCTAGAAAGTCTCTCTGGCATGAAACAGAAAGACATTTATGGGTGACAAAATACACAAGCTACAAAAAGGTAAGCCCTCAAGCCCAGTACTTCCCACAGAGCAGGGAATATAACACAGGGCGTCGCCTGTGCTAGGCAATGCTCTACCACTAAGATACATCCATAGCTCCCACACTTTTAAGAGCTCCTGGAAAAGTCAGTGTACATTATTATATAGCATGCTCAGAGCTGGTATCACCATATAATCAACACTTCATATTACTGTATCATGTGATCACAGCTATTTACACATACTTGTGAAGAAAAGTGGAACAGACAGTCTAAATAGAGCAGTCCTGTGCCCATCGGTGTATCACAAGCCCCTGATTTCTATCTGCTGCTCTCATGGTCCCAAATAAGGAAGCCAAGTGTGTGAGCTGCAGAATAGGTTTGTACACATGGTTTTTAAAAAAACAAAAAACACTTTAATAGACACACAGAAAAAGAATTGAGATGTCTTATTTACATGTACCAACTCCTCACAATGACTGTAATCATGTACTATAAGTGTACTAATAAAAATAGCAATATAAACATCAAAATCATAGAAAAAAGTGTATCTGACATGGAGAAACTCTAAAAGAAATTTTTCCAAACCTCTCAAATTCCCAAGTGTGTTAAAACTAAGAACTTATCATTTTAAAGAAAAATTATTTTAGTCTCCAAGTTAGTACCAAATGAATAGAAAAAACCCCTGAGAAACCTCAACTTTCAACTCCTAAGGATTTTGCTAGTTTAAACCCTCTTATTTTAACTTTGTCTAACTTCAAGACTTTTTATTTAAACCCCCTTTTACTCACAAATGTCTTACCTTCATTTTGACCTTTGCACAGGAGGCCAGACTTTCTCTACAGCCTTTGTGGACAAAAGCACTGCAATCTGAAAAGAAAGCAAAACCCAAGGTCACAACAAGTGACAAACCAATCCTGGATTCTGACTTTCCACCACTGCTACACAGTAAGATGCCTATGGGTTTATGTGGAAGAATGTCACTAAAACTGCCATTACACTGTGCAGTCCTCTTCTACAAAGCAGGCATATGATACGTGGAACACAAATAAAAGCAGATGTGATTTCTGATTAACAAAAAAGAGAACTCTGGAACGTATCAGACAGGAAGCCCAAGATGCTATCAAAACTAAAAGCTTACGTATCTGCCACAAATATGCCTGAGTTACATGTAAATACATAAATAAACTCAACAAGGAATTACAATGTTTGTATTACTGTATCTAAGTGCATGACACAGATATGAAAATGTAGCTGCTTATCTTTCTTCTTGGGATATTAAATTACCCTGAGCTTGTTGCAACCCTCTTGAGTTTAAGAGTCATACAAACAAGGTGACTACCCCAAAGCACCTCTGGGAACTTAAAACTTGAGAAGATGGGAGACTCTGTGAAAGATAAAGACAGACCACAATTTGCCAGGACAATTTGATCTCAAAATTCTTTTAATGTCTTAGACCCTTGGGCTTCAAAGACCTTCTCCACACATTTCCATTTTCTTGTCTATAAAATGAGAAAGACCACATTTCTCCCAGTTTTAAGTGCTGGTAAGGATAGGACAATGCAGATTCTCAGCATCGGCTAGAGGACTGGGAATCTGCCACACTCATTTTGGATAGTAATAAAGCTTGTACATGTACCGAGGTCATCCCTGGTAGCACTGTTTGTAACAGAAGTTGAAAATAATCCAAACAACTGAGTAGTGGAACAGATCTGATTATATTACATAGTAGGATACCACAGAAGAGTTAAAATTCACTGATGTAGACCTACATGTTTCAATATGCTGATTCCCCAAAATACAATTCTGGGGAGAATAAAGCAGATTATGCAATGAGACATACCATATGGCACTTTTTATGTAAGATTTGTTTATATGAGATGAAATTATAAAAAAAAAAATTACATATATACTGAATTTGTGACAGACAGAGCTTAGCCCTGGGGAAGAAAGAAGAAGTCTGAGGCAAGAAAACACAGAAAAATTCAACCTTAACTGTGATGGTTCCTTTAAAAATAAAAAATAATCTGCAGCATTATGACAAATGTTACTATTTCTTCTTTTAGAGTGATGGGTAAACAGGTGCCTGTTAGATTAACCATATATAATACTTTGTATTAACAACTTTCAAAATTAAAAAAAAAAAACTAAGAGCAGTGTATCAGACTATGATCCTTCAAAGTTCCTTCAACTCCCATACAACATATCCTATCTTTTTTTTTTTAAAAGTTAACTTAGTACATTTGTGATAAAATTTTATTATAAAAATGCACTGTTTTCTTTGGCTTACTGAAAATCTTTTTTTCAACACCAAATACAATATTCAGGTGGAAGATGTACTTGAGAACTTGGCACTAATTTTATCTTCCAAAGACAAGTAACACTATGGACACTATAGTTTTCCAAACTATATCCTCATCCTCTTCTTCATGGCAAGTTCCAACACCGTTCAAGAATTAAGTACAGCAATCTTTGAGAGAGTGCCACTATTAATAATAAACAAACCAGCAGTTTTTGAGTTCTCAGGGTACTGTTTGAAATTTAGAAAGCAATTCCTTTTGATGCATCATCAATTAAGCTTCTAGTAGCTCACATGGACCTCTGCTTAACATACTGAAGTAACTATGAAAACCAGTCAACTTGTTACCAAATGGTCCTGGACTCAGTCTGCATGGATGATTTATAAATGTTTGGCCCTACTGACATCAGTCAAACTCACTGGATTAAAACTGTATTTTCGAATGTTTTGGAAAACAGACTATTACCAAGCATACAAGAAAAGTGAAGACTAATATATTTTTAAGCTCTCTGCCACAAACTATCATATTAGGAAGAGAAAAGAAAATTATCTAGCTTTTTATTTATTTAAAGATTTCCTAAATAGCGATAAGCAATTTGCTTTCATTTTTCAAAAATTCTTCAGAAAGATCTCAGCACAGTGATTGATGGGAACAGAGCTGACCTCTAATTAGATTGTCCTGAATTTAAAAGCAAACCAGCTCAGCCCTCAACTTCATTTAGTTTTTTTTTTTTTGCTATAAGAAGGCATGAAACAAAAGAAAATGAAGCAAAACTCATGTGACTGGGAACTATCATTACCTGTTGCTATTTTAAAAACAACCTCTGCCACCAAGTGCCAGAGACGTTTGGTGAACTGGCATTTACTATGCATTCTTTCTCTTTCAGCAGGAAAAAAACAAAACAAAACAAATCATTAAAAAGACTGGCTTAAGAAAACCAGTATGATGAAAGTAACTATGCCAAACTGAACACACACGCGTAAACAAGAGTCATCTTCATGAACTAGATCTTTCAAAGGAAAGGGTCTTAATACTCTAATCCACTGATGAGAATTAAGAGAACACGCTGAGTTTGATGTTCTATGTACTAGAACTGAGTACTAACTGGAAAAAAACGAGCTGATCCTTCAGAAATGATCTGATTCCTTACAAGGTGAGGAATTATCTTTAAGGACCTAAATACGTAACTTCCTATCATTTCAACCCTACCCAAGAAAATGAAAACAAAAACCATTTAAATACAAGCATCTTAGAACTGCATGTTCCAAAATTCCTTCTTCAATTTCTTGTTTAAAATCTTTAGAGAAAACGAGAGACTGTCTGGCCTGACTGATAGTGCTTGTATGCAAAAGGCATTTGAGATGTTCTTGGTAGCCAGTGTAATAACCACAGCGCTGATGCACAGAAAAGGAAAGCCACAAAAAAAGAGCCAAACCATCTTGACTGAAGTGCTTATAAAAGCACTTTTCATAAGAACACTAGTAAACAAAAATGCAACATGGAAGTGTTCTGCTTGGGCAAGAATTGTTCAAGCTCTTTATTCACCTCTTTTTCCTCTAAATAGCAAATGTCCTTTCTTTAATCAATTGCATGTATTTTACTAACTCAATTAACTAATTAACTTTAAATGCCAGAAAACTGATAAAATCCAAACCACTCATACTGTAAATTCTTATGTTTCCTACTTAGATCACAGCTGGTCTACTTGCTTATTTTTTTAATCAACAGAAACAACCTACCACAGAAGTATTCAGAAACTGCTAACACAACAGAAAAAAAAAATCCCAATATCATCTTACATCTGTTTAAAGAAAACAAAAGAAAACCACCAGCAATATCCAAAAATTTGAACACCACAAATTCCTTATTCTGAAGAACTCTACCAAGCTTGCCACAAACTAGATTATCTGTGGCAGCTATACAGAACAGCTAATTATTTTGAGGACAGCTTTACATAATGAAGAAGAAAGAACCCAAAAGACACTTCTCTCTTTCCATGGCTAGAGTCACTTAACCCTAAAGCAGGACTGTAGTTTGAGCTGAGAAACAAAACAACAAAAACAAAAACCAATAATCCTCTCGTTTTCCTAAATTATTTTCAAGTAGTCCTGGTAATAAGCTTTGGGTTTTGCTTCTACTTTTTCTTTTTTAAATCCAGGAACAGAATACAAGGAGCTATACAGATGCTTTATGGCTTGCTATTTTTAGTATCTGTGATCCTGACAATAATGTCAGAATAGTCTAGGTGTAATCTAATGGCATCAGAAATGCTGATTTAAGATATTTCGTCCTGTTCAATCCGTCTTAGTATCTGCATGCAGATGGATATATTAAAGTGACAGAAACAGAAGGAAGTCAATAGAAAGCATCATAATCTATCATTAAAATGGGCTATACCATTGTGGTCTTCCTAAACTATGAGTCAAAACCTGCCTGAGAGTTGCCTGGCATATAAAGTTCCTTCTAAGGGTCAACAAAACAGGCTTTCTGTTAAACAAAAAGGAAAGCCACTTTGTTCTAAGAGCACAATGGTTTCATAGGAGGTAGAAGACTAACTGCAGGGATGCTACATCTCCTGAGATTCCTGGCAAGATCCTAAACATGAGCAGCAAAGAAGGGAAAGGACAAAAGATTCTGAGTCTCAAGGTTACGCATATTTTCCACTTCCTGCCAAGATAACACATGTGGCTTCATACACACAAACATATATTACAGACTCTGCTCTGGAGGAAGCCAGGAGAATCAGCCAGTTATTTTACCTCTTTTGGGAAGATGATTACACAGTGTTCCTTTGCTTTCAGGCCCTGATTCCTCTCCTGTCCCCCTTCTTTTTATAAGAGACACACCACACAGCTGCACACCTACTTTAATGCCACTACCAAATGTGAAAACTATTTAAATAGTAGTGGAGCAAATGGTACAGGGCTGTAGCTGAAGCACTTCTAAGATTTGGATGTGGGGCAGTTTGCCAATCAAAAATACAGTTTTGAATATTGCAGGCATGTAAGCCTAACAATCAAGCTGAACTATTCCTTTTTGCTGATTCTTTTCAGCATTAATGCCCATAAACATAAACTCTTTTTCCTTGTTTTTACTGAGCAGGTAGAACTAAAATATCCTATGATACTTGATTTGATCAACCTGTACCATAACTTAATCATTGGCAAAGGACAACAGATCTCCCTCCATTCACCAATCTTACCAAACAAGGAAAGACTTCAGCAACGGTATATTCAACTCTTTGAAACAATGTGCTTCCAGAAGAAGCAAATCCTCCTGGGTGACGTTAAAATTTATAGGGCTAACCAAAAAAAGTCACAGCGCTTATTATAAATACAGTATGAAACTAGTAGCCAGCCCATTATTTCACTGGTCTATCTTAAAATAGTCTTAAATGAAATGATACTATTATATGTGTTCAAGTATATAAAATAGTATAGATTTTTTGAGTTACCATTTTAATCAATGAGTCTGTTTTGATGGAGGTACATGACACTTTAACAACCCCTAATGTCTAATTTATTTCTGTTATTTTGAAGTACACGATGTAGAAAAAGTTTTTTGGGGTGGGTACCAGTAATCTAACTCAAGGCTTGTACACTTGCCAAGCAGGCACTGTGTCACTGAGTTACATCTCTAGCATCAGAAAATACTTTTTAATCACATATATAAAACAAGTATTAGCAATTTTTAAAAAATGGTTTGCTTTGTAATCATAGTCTTCACTCACAGTACTTCAAGATGGAAGTAAAAATACCAGGGACAATGTTGGCATCGATTTTAGTTACACATCTATGGAAGATGTTTGTCCTGGCAATGTTGCTAATGACACTGATAAAAATTCACCAATGGAAGCAGCTGGCTTCACTGCTCAGGTGATTATCCTAAGTCACTGGTGTCAATTGTATTTTTAAATATATTTGCTTTACATATACAAAGCCAAATGCCAGCTATGCTTCTGTTCTGGATTGTCAGAGAGCTAGTGACACTGCTTCCAGTTCTGTTGTGCTCAATGAAAAGACTAACCACTGTTGTGATAAGAAGGCAGGAAAGCAATCCTCAAAGTCTAGTGATGACACCATGGATTGATATGGTTCCTGACAAGGCTATGATAGGTGTCGAGCCTCTCGACTTCTTTCTGGGTTGACTGCTATCAGAGACACGAAGCAGACAATTGCCTTGGGCATTTTCAACCCAACTGACAAGAAGGCTGCTGAAACTGGCAAGCTTGACAAGTCCGCCCAGAAAGCTCACCACGCTGTAGGAGTTAGGTGTACCTAACAACTGCTGGTGTGAACTGGTGGGGGAAGAATGGTTTCAGAACTGTTTGTCCAAAATGGTCACTCGATAGCAAAAGACTGGTTAATGGTAACAATGCACTGTACAATCTTGAAAAGGAAAAGAGAATGTAAGGACTATTTTGTTTTCTTGTGAAGCATTTTTAAGTTAATGGTTCTTTAAATTATTATTCTAACAAAAACAATTTGACTAAAAACTTGTCATAGGATTCTGGGCCCAATTAAAGTCTAATGAGAACAGAAACTGGTTTTAAATACATACAAATTTTTAAAAAAATCTATAGAGTTTTTCAACACCAGATACCCTGAAAACTATGACCCTTTTCAACTATTTGGTTACTACATGGATGTGGCTGAGAATTTGAGATCCTAAGTTGGATACTTGTTCATGTAGTTTTTCCTAATCAGTACCTGACATTCCACAAGTGATTTTCTATGGGTTGCTCTGTTATCTTTAATAATAGAAGTGTCCAAGAACTATCCCAGATCCTGAGGTGGGGGTGAGCACACCCTACAGTGACAATCTGTGGTGACTTAGCACGTATGTGCCATCATGTGGAGAATTCAGTGCAATCTCTACCATGTTTAACAGAAAGGCGAATCAGTAAAAAAGATTGCCATCATCTAGGGAATTCAGTATAATTTTACTATGTTTAACAGAAAAAAGAATCAATAAAAGATGGATGTAGGCTGTCTGTGGTTAAAAAAGGTGGGTATTTCTGCCATCTGACCAATACTCTCTATAGCACAAGGATAAGGGCTCTAGCACATACAACTGGTATAAATCTGGACCCCAGATTTACGCATGATGCAGAATTCTCACCTAGAGCCCCAGGATTCTGCAAGCTTCTTGCTGCTTCTGAAGATCGGTTAGTGAAATTTTTCTAGGCTCTTTATCAAGGATGCTAGCTTTCAAAGTTCTTGGTTTTATTTCAATGTCTCATATCCAGCCCTTATTATGTACATAACCTGTTCCCATTTGTGGGTGATATTCCTCTGATTTTGAGTTCCCTCAGGGATTTTCTCTTTGGCAGATTCTCTCTCTCTCACTCTCACTCTCCCCCTGCCTCCCTCTCTCCCTTCTTTCTTGGGCCTCATGAACAAGTTTGTTCTGGGAGAACGTTTTTAAGTTGCACTCATTTGTAACTGACAAAATGAGTCTTACACAGCACACTTGTGAAAGTTTCACTACTGGAATGTTCCTAAGTTGGGGACTTATTACAAATTTTATAGCAGAAATCGGGTGTCCAACTGCTTTACTGATAAAGTTCCCTGAATTCAATTCCATACTGCTCATCAAAAAATGGCCTCTTCTTTTCTGTTCTTTTTTTTTTTTTGAAACTAGTGCTCCCCAAATAAAGAAATGGTATTCTGAAGGGGAAAAACACATAAAATAATTATTTTAGAGTATGAACTGAAAAGTTTACAGCCCTCTCTTTCTTCTTTCCTGACTGACTGCCTAATACTGGTGATGGTACTCAGGACCTTTAGTGTGCTAGGTGTACAATCCTCCACTGGGCTACAGCTGTCATTTTGACTCAGTTCTCAAAAGACAGTAACATACACACAGACACTCTACTCAATCTCTACGTTAGGCGGCCTCGCTTATATATGACACTGGTGGATTTCTGAGGGAGGAAGGGGAGTTTCTTGCTGAGAAGGTGGGGTTGGGAAGCATAGCTGGGACCCTTGTTTACATTTGCTCATTGTTAACAATGAGTATGTTTGTAGGCTGTGATGACTGGTAATATACTGGTACCCAGTTAAGCAAGCTCACAGCTTATATTATCTGGTTTAAAACTAAGAAAGCTGTAAAAATTCTATAAAGAAGCCATCATCAAAAACAATATTAATCATATTAACAATCAGAAAATAAGAAAATGCCAAATCTGAAGTTTTTATTCTTACAATGAGCTCTTTAGTAGTAACTCAGGAAAGTGTTACATTAAATATATAGTGCCTGTGTGAATATAGTAATGTATTTTTATAATAGATATGTGAAAAAAGTGCTTGATGACTTCTGTTCTAAGTAACGAAGTTATTCCAGTGTTAAGAAACAAGCTAAGTAACTAAAGTGCAAACACTCCACTGGTGTCCTAGAAAAAAGTCCTACAGAACCTGGGTTCCTAAATAAAAAATCTACAGGAGAAATGGGCACAGATAGTCTCTTGTTTCCCATAGATCACCTGAAATTTATTTATATGTGGTAGAAACTCTCAATTTTCTTGTAATTTACTCATGAAAAACAATGTTAATATGTCTGATTTCTGCATCCAGAGATGCATAAGGACTTAGATAAGCACTTTCGAGTTTCCCTTTATTTTAAAAACAGTAAAACTAACAGGAGTGTAGCCTATTCTTGGGCTATATCTATAAAAACAATTTTATGGGAACAGGCCAGTCATTTAAAAATGCCACAAGAGTCATGGCATACATATTACAGGTTACAAGTTCTTTGCAAGCTGTAACTTCTCTTCCATTCAAGAAAGCAAATAGATAGAAATTACTATAGAAGCAAATTTGAATTTGTTTAAATAAACTTTAAAAAAGTTCTAGTGAGTTATTTTTAGTCACAAATTACTTGAGATACTCAACACAAATGACCGAAAACAAGATGTCATGGCATTATCATCTGGGACTTGTTCCTCTGAAATTAGTCACTGTTCTATTAGTCATTTTAACTATCTTGGAATAGTCTGCTTCTGGAGTGCCTGAATCTACAACTTATCATCTCTCACCAAAGAAGACTCCACGGTCTTGGTATTCTCTACAAAAATATTACTCTGTTTACAGTGACAAAATTTTATTTTTATTGTTTTTGAGCTTATTTGAAAATTATGTGTGCAGGGGCTGGGGATTTAGCTCAGTGGCATAAGCGCCTGCCTTGCAAGCAGGCAGTCGTGAGTTCGATCCCTGGTACCGATAAAAAGGAAAAAGACCCCCCCCAAAAAGAAAGAAAATTATGTGTGCTAAATCTGGATTATAGCCTATTTTGCATAGCTCTTGATCTTTGAATGGCTTTTAACATTTTAAAGGGTTGAAAAAAATAAGATTAATAGCATGACATGCAAAGATTTTATGAAATTCAAATTATAGTGTCCTTAAATGAAGTTTCCGAGGAATAAAGTCATATTCCTTGGTTTATATGTTTCTGGCCACTTCTGCACTACAACTGCAGTGTTCAGTAGCTTTGACAGACTGTACAGCCTACAAGGTTAAAGATATTTGTTATCTAAGTCCTCCACAGAGCAAGTTAACTGTCAGTTGAGAGTATCTTATCAAAGACAAGAACTCCTGTTAACCAATTGGCCTGTATGGTGGTTGCAAGCAGGTCAAAGATGGGTCGATATGGAACTTCTCTGAGGTATCCTCCCTTGTCAGGCACCATATTTTAATGTCTGTAAGTGGCTGAATCATATAGCAGAAGACTAGATTTAAAAATGATCACATTTGATCTGATAAGAGACTGCTGGGCACCATAGGGTTTGAGGCTATGATGCTGATATAGACTTGTGGAATAAAGGGTGGTTCATTGGCAACAGAACGTAGCATTTGAAACTGTCTGAAAAAAAAAAAAGGTTGTATGTATCTTGAATTAATTACATCAAATATTTAAGGAAAACACAGCTACCTCTCCATGTATATGAGAAACAGATAAGCAGTGGGGTGGGCAGGAAACTAGAAACCAACTTTCCTGAGCTAGAGGCTCATGAGAGAGAGAGAGCAAAAAGCACAATTCTTACTTGCACAAGTATAGGCGTCTTTGTTGGTAAAAGGCTTTAAACAATGGGTACAGCTGATGGGACCCACAATAGGAATGGAACTAAAAGTGTGCCCATTGACAGTCTTCTTGTCCTTCTCCTTCTCTTTAGAATCTTTCTCCTTCTCCTTAATTTTTTCTTTCTCTTTTTCTTTTTCCTGCCAGGAAAAAACAAAACAAAAACAACAGTTAACTGGACATTGGAAGGGCTCCTCTTTACCTGAATACCCAGATGGCATCAACAGAGGTTGATGAATCTTTTGGTTAAAAGTGAGGAACAATGTTCGAACAAACTTTTTATTATTAACCTATAAAGAAAACAAGTTACATTAGGAAAAATCATACAACTGGACAAGATACATAGTTCTGGCAGTGATATATCAGGGGCTATTTATACTGACAGACACAGTGCTCGAAGACCAACACTGGGAAGAGGCCCGCAGTATCGGTAAGAATTTTCTCTGCAACCTGTAGTGTAGTCCACACAGGAGTCAGGCTCAAGTTCAAATCTAAGTTCTACTACCACTACTTACTAATGATGTGACCGTGGGCAGGTTATTATCTAGGTCTCAGTTTCCTTATTTGAAAAGTGGCCCTTTTCCTACATACATACATACACACACAAATTATACATTGGGTTAAAAATATATATTTTTAAAAAATGAAGTGAGATAGATGAAGGGAGAAGGGAAGAGAACAGTGGAAGTAAAAAAATGTGTTATGTGCACATATCAAATCCTCAAGATGAAAGTACTCATTCCGTACTACAAACATGAACTAAAATGTTAATTAATTAATTAACTGAGATAGGGTCTCACCATGCAGTGCAGGCTGGCCCTGAGCTCACAGTGATCTTCCTACCTCAGCCTCCCAAGTACAGGGATCACAGGTATGTGCCACTATGCTTAAAATTTGTAATTACATGAAATCCATGTAAAGCATGTTGTACAATGCCTGCTGCAGAGACAGTAGGCAACACTAATAATAGCCATTACAGTGATTATTCATGGCTCACTGAGAATAAGTTTCATTAGATTACTATTCTCCTAACACAATAGAAAAACATCTTTCCCTGTAATGAGGGAAAAGAGATTGTGAGCTGAGGAAAGAAAACTAAGAAGTAGTAAAAGGGCACTGGTGCCCATCAGGGAGAATGGGAAGCATGAAAGAGACAGGAAGAAGTGGCATGTTTTCTAAACTATCTTCTCAGTCCCTGCAAGGTAGCTCCATCATAATGGTAACTTCAAGCAAATGGGAGTCCCAGAGAAAGGCCTAGATACTAACTCCTCTGCACCAAGGCCTGGAAAGATAAGAAAAACAGACAGTGTCTCTGGTTTAAAGATTCAGATTCTCAATACCTGCTCTCTACTGAAAAGCTCTTTTTCCGGGTGGCCTTCCCTCATCTGTCCAAGGGAACAGGAAACTGATGTTCGTGTAAGCTTTACTATGCACTCAGCCAACTAGGTGCATTCTAGTGACTGAGCACACTAGTGCTGGGCCAGGTACTGACAAAGCCCCAGGACTGGCTGGCACAGACCTGACTGAACTTCCAGCCCCAGGACTGGAAGTGTGGAGCTTTGGGTACAAGGTTTCTCAGCATGTCACCTCAAAACACTACAGGAATGCGTCAAATGCTTTAGAGACAGACCAAAAGAAGAAGACTTTCACATGACATCTCACCGCTACCTAACACGGGTTGATACCAAAACTTATACAAGCATGAAAAGGAAAAGAAAATAATTTAAGTCTGAAAATGTTGAAGAAATATCTAAATACCTAAAAAAGCCAGGGACACACACATAAGTGGCCAGACACATGGAGATAATGCTCTCCATAAAGGGTTCTTTGAAAGCATTGTTTGGCAAAGCACTTGGCTAGCTAACCAAAACTGACCTGACAATTTCTTTACAAACCAACTAGACCACAAGGAACTACAACAGATGTTTAGGAGTTTCAGGTTTTGCCACACACTTATTGTGTAACCAAGAAAAATACCTGGAAAATAGGTAATTCAAAGTTAGTGATCATGACACTACTTGATGCCTTACATTTAAATTAGTACCTTTTTTAATAGATTATTTCATATGAATATCTCTGAAGTGGGAAAGCCAGGCATTATGCTTCTTCTTTTTCTTTTTCTTTTTTTTTGCTAGCTAAATTCTGCATGGTTACGTGTCAAACATGGTAATAAGCAATTAAAAATTTTCTAACAAGTCAGTAAGTACTAATTATCTTCATTTTACGTCTGAAGACAGTGAAGCTTACAGATGCTTAAAAATAGGGGCTGGGGATTTAGCTCAGCGGCATAAGCATCTGCCTTGTAAGTAGGCGGTCGTGAGTTTGATCCCCGGTATTGATAAAAAGAAAGAAAAAAAAAGTGTAAAAAAATATATTTGAGGCCACACACCAACATCACTCAAACTAGAATTAAAATTTATATTTGGTTGACCAACTCAACCCTCACACTCTGACACTGTATGGCAAAAGCAAGAAACCACAAGGTATTTTCTGTTAAAAACCAATCCACTATGCTGAAATGGTAAATACTTCCTAAAATTTAAGATGCATGTTACTTCCTTTGTTTACAGAAAACTACATGTAAAATCTAAAAGTCAAAGTGTATAGTCTTGAATTATATAAAATATTAAGAGAGGAAGGGAGAAAAACAAACTGCTTCACTTTACAAAACAGGAAACTGTTTAAAGTGGAAATCAGTTAACTGCTAAAATACACAAAACTCCAATAGAAATCAGTAAAAATCTGAGTTTTTCAAAGTAACTTCAACTTTTTTTCCCACTAAATTTCACTGAAAGTTTCTCTATGTATAAACAATTTAAATTGAAAAGCATCTGCCTTTTTTGCTTAAGGTGAAAAGCAAGCTCCAATGGTCAAGAAAGCGGTGACAATTAGCTGATTCTCTCATTGTGCAGTGCTCTTCAAATCCGGATAACAAATAATTTTACCATCCTTTGCAACATTTTAAAATACTTCTTCCAAAGGTAAAATAAACTCACAAACAAATTACACTGTTCCTTCTGTTTTTATCAGATTTCAGTGTTTTGGAGAAGTCAGGTTCTTACCTGCCCATACTTTTGTCCTGGGAATCTCACTGTTATAAGGGGTACTTCAGGAAGCCGACCCCATTTTACCGACATGATGCAGACCCCATGCCAGGATACGTGTTCTCATAGAAGGAGGGGTTCATGCCGGCAGGGCAGAGCACAACAGTTCTGAGCTGCCATTAGCGAAACCGTAAGAGGAAGCCAGAGACTGGTTGAGAAAGGGAAGGAGGGAGGGCTGAGGCTGCTTGTTTCCTTAAGGCAGTTTTTTTTTTTAACCCCTTCAGACAATCTTAACTATTTGAATGCTGCTTGTAAAACTACTCTAGTTATAAAAGACAGAGGGAATGAAGAAAAGCAAAATCCAGTGTGTGTGAATAGTGCTTATGTGGCAATACAGAAACTCAGTAATAAATGGAATATATCGTTCCTGTTTAAACAATCTTCAAATTCTACAAAAAGCAGGACTTCATAAAAATTTTTAAAACTAAAACAGTCTAAGGTACAGTTGTAACTAATTATTTTCTTAAGTTTGATTTGCCCATGCTTAGTACCTACCAAAATTCTTTAACTATGTGCTGTGGAAACAGATTTGAATAGCATTTAGAAAGGAAATAATACTGGCAACAATTAACCTAGGGTCCTATGAATGAAAACGATTTTTCATTTTTCCTATACTTACAGTTGTTTATAATTAAAAATTACAATACTCTGGAAAACTGTGAAAACACAGCAAGATTAACCACTATCCTGATATAGATCTTTAACCAAAGAAATGAGAGAATCATATTTAAAACTGACTTAACCTTGTACAAACACTAATGTACTCTAGTAGGTACCTTTGAAAGATTAAAGAGAAGAGTTCTTTTTCATACAAACCACAGAAACTAGGAGTTGGCACTCAACGTATTGCTATAAATTCATGTAATATATTAGCCAGGTAGGAATGTAACTCTTACACCTAAAAATACCTACTTTGAGTCAGAATGTTTGGTTTAAAATATTTCTAACTATCTTTTGATTGTGCACAAAAAAGACGAAAGCTTAGTAGAAAAAAAGAAAACCAGTGTGATATTATGGTTTAAAGAGGGTTACTTCACTCCCCTTATGAACTTGAGCCTTATGCATGTAAGTATTTGAATACTTCTAATAACCAAACTTACTTAGCAAGAAACAGTAGCACTTCTCAAAGACAAAAGCAGAAACTGCCAGTCTTCCTGTTGTACTTCCTGTTTAGGCTCCACCTATCTCAGAAATATGCAATACATTTACCTAGTAACTTACACCAGTTACTGATGTCACTTAAAAGAATGGGTTGGTAACTAAATTTCTTATATAAAAACTACATATCTACATGCCTATTTACCTCCCTGATTATCTGCAAAATATATTACCCAAGTATGTTACCCATGTGCTACCTAATGGCTGACTCCTGGCTCCTTGGAGTATTATCTAAGAACTATTTATGATCCCAGTTTAACATACAAAATGTAGTAAGTTTAGGTTAGTAGCTATAAGCTTTCAGTATAAATACATATATTATGCATAAGGAAACAAGAAAATTTCTTTCTTTTTCTTTTTGGTACAGGGATCAAACTCACAACCTCACACTTGCCAGGCAGGCACTTATATTACTGAGCTAAATCCCTGGTCCCTGAAACCAGAAATTTCCAAACCACCTCTTAAATAAGAATTACAGGTACTCTTTTAATATGATAATAAAAAAAAAAATCAGTAAATGCTTTAATTTTTTCTTTTCAGAAAATAGGCAGGGTCACATTATTCTATAGATGAATAAGACAGATAAGATGGACTCTCACAGTATATATTAAAAATGAAAAATTATCAATTTCATCGAACAATCAATGTTGACATCTCTACTAGCACTTAGCTTTTTAATATTATGGAAAGTTAAGAAAAAGGAGAATCAGCATCATGCTAAAGATTTGACCTTTATATTTGTTATTGTTTACAAAATTAAATGCTTCTACAAGTTAAAGCTCTATTATGCATTTATGACAGTAAAACAGGGTTATTTATGCTATATGATCAAAAAATAAAGTGAATTCTTTTGTTATTGTTTTAAATTCAGTACAGTAAAAGATTCATTGTCATTAATCCCTCTCAAAACACACTTGCTTCAAACATTTATTCCATTGTTCATGCCACTTTCTGAAGCAGTTCTGCAAGACCTCTTCCGTGCGTGTGTCTTTCATTGTGCTCTCCTGGCTGCCTCACTGTCCCAAATCAATTTGAAAGGTTTACTTTTCATGCTTATTTTTAATTTGGGGAAAAGACAGAAATCACATGATGCCATGTACAGTGAATAAGATGGATAAGGGCACAATATGTTTTACAACTCCGCCTTTCTGACGGATGACATTTGGTGGCGACATTCATCATTGTTTTGATCAGAACTCATAAAGACAATCATAAAAGAGAACTCCTAGAGCTGTTTTAGAAAGTGGCCACAATGATGTAATAAAGTATGTTTGAAGAAAGAGGGAATATTCTCAGGGGGATCAATGGCAACGTGTTTTTAAACACAATAAACTTTTGAAATGTATACATTCACCGTATATTTTGATCAGCTCTAATAACATAACACAAACAGGACTTACTTCATTATAATAAGTATCTAGCACCTCTGACCACACTGACAAAAGCCACGTTGTTTTACAGGCGGTTCTGTAACAATTTTAAAGTTAACCAGCAAAAACTAACTACAGAAGATGATCTCTCAATAAATTTGGTCACTGGGGCACTATAAACAAATATCTGATAATGTGAAATGGGGTACAATCTAAGATTATGAATTAATAATTTTTTTAATTTCCACAGCTAAAGACAACATAGGCCCAAAGATCAAACCTTAGACTAAAAGGGGAACCAGTCTCAATTGCAACAGTACTTTCATTTTGACAAGGGAGATGATCAGAGGCAAGAGGTCAACTGTTAACTTCAACACGGCCAGTGACAACCAATGCCCCTTTAACACAAATTACTTGTTTTCTCCTGTCTTATCCAACCCCTACCTAAAATCTGCTCCTCTTGAGAATGGGCAGAGGGAATAGTATGCTTAGTAAAAATAAGCACATGGCCAAAAAAAAAGAGAAGAAAAAAAAAAAAAAAAAAAGAGGAAGCACATTGCAAATGCTATCTGCTACAATTCAGGGGGTCTACTCTTAATACTGTCAAGTTCTATGATTGAACCCTAATTCTCTGTGCTCATTTTTTAAATATAAAGAGACTGGCATAAGAATTTATTTTTTTTAAATAAAAGATCAGGTTCTAGTTTCAAAATCTAGTCTTTCATATTTTTTCAATGAACTTTTTCTGTATTACTCCATAAACAAGATCACTGGTGTATTTACCACACTGTCTTCAAAGTCCCTTCACTGGGGAGATGTCCAGAAGTTAGAATCTGCACTTACACAGGTGGTACCGGAGATTGACCTTGTACTTGGCAGGAGGTACTGTACTATTGAGCTATATTACCAGCCTGGAATCTCCACTTACTTACTGACCTTGCACTTAACTGTGATTAAAGACAAGGTTCTACAGTTTAAGAACCAAATGGAAAAAAACACAAAACAACCCAAAAAATCTGAAACCATCCAAAGTAGATCACAAACATTTGGCTATTTATAGTGACCTTTCTAAGAGATCTCGAGGTTTTTTTGTTTGTTTTGTTTTTGTGTTTGTTTTGATGCCAAACAGTGTCCAGGAAAGTAGGAATAAGTGAAATAGATTTCACTTGCTGCCAATAGAATTAGTAAGCATTCTATCTTAAGTTTTTTAAAAAATTAAAAAATAAAGCTAACTATAAAATTAGTAGTTAATATTACACTAGAAATGATTTGCTAGACTCTGCATCTTTTCCTGGCTGCCTGCTCCCTCTGCATTTCGCAGCTGGGCAAAAGAAGTGAAGTGAAAACACAATTCTGGTTCTCAATTTTGTGGCCACTTACTGAAGGCCTGAGAGGCTTAGATGGGGTGTACTTTTATTTCTTGAGTTGTTTTATTCTTAAGTACGTATGTATGTACAAGTTCGTACGTACATTTAAATATACAAATATATCTAAACATTTATGCATACACTGCACATATATATACACATAATAATTCCTTTGTCCTAATTCAAATTTCTATTATTTCCTTATTGTGCCAAAGGGTATGTGGGTAGGCGAAATGAAACACAAGGGAAATGGGTCGTACAAAGTTTCTCCCCACTGATTCGACAATGTTGAGAACATTTATCAACAGAATTTATTACCGATGATTTTTAGTACTTTTTGGACATTTGCATAATCACATGCAAAAACTAGATTTGCTTAATTCCATGATCTCAGCATAAAATCCTTCCACTGCATTTCAAATCCGATTTAGTCACTGAAGCACTGTGGTTGAGTATATGGGACCAGAAACCAAAGAGATCTGGGTTTGAATCTCTTCTCTACAAGTAAGCTACCTCATTCCTAGAGGAGAGAGATAATGACTACCTTGCAGGGTGACTGAAGAGATTATATAGAAATATATGAAAGTGCTTGGTATAGAATAAAAACAGTAAACATCACTAACTACACTGCTACTTTTATTACTGTCAGTTTTCTTCAAATAATAGCTTATTTCTAAGTGTACCCCTACATTTATTTTTATATTAACTTAATTTAGGGCAGGGGTTATATACACCGATCATGACAAAACCCTATTAGTGACAGACTGAGGTGGGTCACACAAGGGTTGTCCACAGTAGTACTTACTTTGCTCTTCTTGCTACTGGACATTTTATTCCTGATGTAGCTGAATGTACGACTGACTTTTGTTCCACTTTTCTCTTCAAAATCTTTCTTGGAGGGGTTTGGTGGCAGGAAATCATAGTTCTCTTCTGTTATACTAAAGAAACACAAAAAAGATGTTTTTAAAAAAATGACTATAGAAGTTAAATGGGAAGCATAAGAAGGGGTAGAGAGAAGCTGTTGAATCATTTTACTTATGTAGTATCAAACGAGAGCATGCTACAATGCTCATGTTATAAAAACCTGATTAAGTTTTCTTAAAGCAACCATTACTGCTTTGATTATGGAATCTGGGCACAGTGGTGCACACCTATAATCTAGCTCTCTGGAAGGCTGCAGCAAGAGGATCATAAACTCAAGAGCCCAGCAGAAGCAATGTAATAAGACCTTACATTAAAATTTTAAAAGCACTAAAGTGCAGAGACCCTGTATCCAATTCTCAGAACAAAACAAAACTACCACACCAAACCAAAACAACACTACCACTTCCAACAAAAACTCCCAAAGTTTTAATTATAGATTTTGAGTAACCAGTATCTTTTCTAGCCTTTTGGCATATTGGATTATCAAGATTGGAGACTGGTCCATGAAGCTACGAGTAATTTTAGGAGGGAATATACTGAACAGCAGGAAGATTTCAGAAAGGCAGTAGAGATAGATTCATTTTGAGAGTTTTCCAGAGGTCTAGACTTTCTGACCCACTTGTTCAGGAAGCCTATTAATCGCTAAGTCCATTAAGATGGGATACTATGATCTTTAAACATCCTTCAAAAGTTGATTTTCTTAAAGAATATGGGGCACTTAAGTAAATAATGGAAAAAGAATCCATGTATACTATTTTGTTTAGGAATTTGCTTAGAATAGTTTTTTGGGCTTTCCTTCTAAGTAGAGCAGGCTTCTGTGAGGGCAAGCAGCAGCAGAACCATAAGGGTCCCCTTCCCTTCAACAGCTAAAGTCTATTTATGTGAGTGTTTACAAAACAAAGCAGTCCTTTAAGACAAAAGGGAAGTAGCACGAAAACCACTGCTTTACACAGGAAGAAAAAGACACAAGGCAGTGCAAATAAAAACACTCATTGAGAGGCTTCTGGATCACTAAGTAACTAAAATTCAATTACTTAGACCTGTGCACCACACACAGATCTACAAAACAGACAACCCCCCTGTCCCCGCCCCGTGGTGCTGGGAATTTAATTCAGGGCCTTGCACATGCCAGGCAAGCACTATAGCACTCGACCACACTTCTAGCCCTAAGAACACAGTCTGAAAGATTAGAGTAAGAAACGAATAAAAACACACACAAATTATGAAGCAAAATGCTATCTTTTACACACACACACACACACACACACACACACACACACACATGCTCATAAAAGATAATTTTACTACTCTCTGTTCATCAAAAAGAACAGTTGTGCTTTGTTTGACCATTTTTTCATGCTTGTATCTTGTAATCTGAGCAATTTGAAGATCATAATATGCAATATATTAATTGTTAATTTCCTATTATGTTGTTTTGAAATTCTGTATCTTTTTTTTTAAATGCTGTTAGATTTAGGAATGAAGAATCCATACAAGTAAAGCATGCATAAATTTATAAAGTCAAAAACAAATATACTTTTCCATGAATGAACACAAATAATCTTTTATCATGAGGAACAGTATAAAAAGACTCTATCTCAAAAAGACCAAAAAAAAATCCAATCAAGTGGAAACTACTGAACACACTAATTTTAAGATATAGTCTTCTTTATAAAGTCTTTGATAATTATTCCAAATTTATCACTCAAGAAAGTCTGAACCTAATGAGTTCGGATAACTCAGTTTACTTAATGAAATGCTACAATATAGTTTGGATTTCTTTATAACATTTTGGGAAAATGAATGACAACAACAACAAAAAAGGATATTTACCTTTCAGTCAGATTGGCACTGGTGGTGTGGAAAGGCCGTGAATCTAGAAAATAAAAAAAGGCAAAGAAAAAGTTGAAACAAAAGAATCTTACCCCGATGATGAGTTAAACACTTCAATTTATGGCACTGCAAAAGCAGAAATAAGTGTTTGAAAGTCAGTGCATGGTGCCTCGTCCTTCAAAAAATTTGGAAGAAAGAAAACTCAAAGCCTTCAAATTAGAACAGCAGTACACAGTGAATTTCCCATGAAGAAAATAAATTCCATCCCAGGCCTCAAGTTAACTGCAAAACCTGAACATCAATGTTTTTTCCAAATGCTTTTAATACACATGAGCTGTTTAATTTCTATTCTTATCAATGTTCAGTTTTCACAGACTATTTTTCTGAAATGTCACAGCAAGAATATAAATGAGAAAGTAGATGCTATATTTTCCCCTGCAAATCATGCTTTCATGTATTTCTGTACTAGAAATTTAGTATTATATGACAATTGCCTGAGAGTTCCTAGAAACAGATTAGCATACAAAAAAGAGAAGCAGGGTGGGCTTACAATGTCTTGGGCCTGTGACTAATTTAGGGGAAAACATCTCAATTTCATTTCCTTATCCATGAAACAAGGTGGCTAAAACAGCTGGTAAGCTTGTTTCCAAGTAGGTAGTAATAAAAGAATCGGGGGCCGATGCATTCTTCCTCCAACCCTAACAAGTGAACGTATTAAAATTCTACAATTAAATCAGATAGTAGAGCAATACATAGAAACAAATAGAAGGAACAGTAACACTATTTTGATTTATTACAAAGTTTGAACTGCTGGGGCTTAGGTGGGAGCAAGGCCTCAATTACAAATGATTAATTCTTTTTTCCCCACCACTCAATTCTCACTGGCATTTTTTAGTTTAAGGGACAGATTCTGAGAAATGCTAGACATTAGATGTAAAGGTTTCTTCACCTTTTATGCCTTTAGGACTGTAGCATACTAGATTAGCTGAGTGATCAGTGCTGTTTTGGGATTACAATTCTACATTAGTGTTACAAGAAATAAAACTGAAAGTGGTCTGTCATGATGACTTGACTATTTCCTTGGCTACTTCTAGAGTACTACTAATACTCTGAGATAAAATAGATTCGAGAACTTTTCACCTATTATAATTAGTATAATATAAACACTTTACTGTATTTGTCAAATATATTTTAATAGTAAAAAAATACTATTAACAAGGCCTCCAATGAAACTAAATTAACTAAAATTTGTTATTTGCTAAAGGTACTTTTGTATAAAAAAATGCAAAAATGCTAGCCAGGGGAATGTTTGCGTAACTGCTGCAACTTTCAGTCGCCAAGTGGAAAGAAATTCAGTTAGGGTGCTCAACACCATCACAATAATGTATCACCTGAAACCTACAGCTTTCTGAAAGTTCCAAAGAAGGGGATATATATATATATATCCCTCCCATCCCCGCATATTATAAGGCCTTTTTTTTTTTTTTTTTGGTACTGAGAATTGAACTCAAGATCTCATGCTTGCCAGGCAGGCATTGTGCCACTTAGCTGAATTCCCTAATCTTAAAGATATACATACATATTTTAAAGAAATGGTCTGAAAAGGTGAGAGATCAAAGAATTTTATTAGTTTTTAAATATCAGAGGTACATTAGGTAAGTGTCTCATAAGAGAAAAATTAAATAAGGAAAATGAGATTAAGGCTGTCAAATGAAAAGTTTTGTGACATTGATACTCAGTCTTACAAAGGGTACAGAGTGATCTGGGAATACTATATCCCTTAGTAAGTTAGAGGACATGTTCTAGAAAGCTACCCTGGGGCCTGGAATCAGAAGGCTTCGGCGTCAATCAGAGTTAGTACTGTAAGGAAGAAAGAATTATTTCATCCAGATCAATTTTTAAAAGCATGCATGAGGTCAAATGATTTGTAAAAGATGGGATGCAAGGGATACAAGTTCAGTCTAATTTTTTTGTACCAAGCCTACAGCATTTTCAGAGCTTGTCAGATCCTGGAGAACAGCCATGGACATCAAAGTTGCTTACTTACTATGCAACTCTTCCTCCTCATCACTGGAATAAGAAGAGCCAAGAGAAAAGAGAGTTTTAGACTTAAGGAGAAGCGGAGAGATGCTGATGGAGAAGGAAATCCGCCGTGCTGGTTGCATCTGCGGCTGAGCTGAGAAGTGGGTTAACAGAAAGACATTAAAGCATGCATGGATTCTGCCAGAATAAAGTAAAAGAGACTTCCAACCTATCTGAGAGTACCATAATATTGTGGCCTATAGGATGCCAGAAAAGGCTGTCTAGGTAAACAATCTACTTTACTTGTATTTTTTTCCCCGAATATCAAGAATAATAATGCAAAACCTCAACCAAAAAATACGTACTTGCTAGAAAGAAGTACATTATTTTTTATGGTCAGAATACAAAGCTGAAATTTTCCTCCTTAAAAGTTTATGGAGGGGCTGGGAATTTAGCTCACGGCATAAGCGCCTGCCTTACAAGCAGGCAGTCGTGAGTTTGATCCCTGGTACCAATAAAAAGGAAAAAGACAAAAAAAAAAGTTTATGGAAACAGAGTAGTGGTGTTCCTCAGCATCCTGAACAGTATTTGGCTCTCTTTTCACTCTCCCTCAACCTCCTCATTCCTCCGACCTCATCACAGACCAAGTGCACACAATACACGACTTATTCATGAGTTACAACTTTTTCATCTTCAAGCACATCTCTCCTGTCCAAGCTAGACTCATTCACCCTGCTGCTCACCTTTGGGTAGATATTCTATAGCAGCTGAAACTCAAAGAAGTTGCTTGTTTTTTCTCAATGATCTAATTTCCCTTGTCTATAAATAGCACCTACCACCGAACTAATTACTGAAAATAGAAATCTGGGCACCACTTTCAAATCTCTGTAGCATACTTCACCCAGGCCTCTGGATTATCTTCTAGCTCTCTTAAAAGTCTCAGTTCTCCCCTGCTGTGGATGCTTTAAGCTCTGGGTCAAGATACCAACTACTGTCATGGAAATCCTCTAGAAGCCTTCTGCTTATCTCCAACCTCTTTTCCCCATACCTTCAGTATGGTGTGTCTGAAGTTGTGACGGCAAATGTTTTAGAGACTAGAGACGAGTGCCAAAATTGAAACCCAAATCTACCTATTTATTGTAAAGTGCCAACACAGTTAATTAAACCTGAATACTAAGGTTTTAGTTTGAAAAAAATAACTCATACATTAACATCTGTCTTAAAAGAAAAACACACTGAGCTTAAAAAATTATACAAACAGCTTTTTATTTAAAGATTTAAGTTTGCATTTGACACGCTTTTGTACAATTGTGATCTTTGCTGTTGTATGTATGCTGGTAGTTTGTAAACCTTGGCTCACAATTCATTAGTTTGCAAGCAACACATGTGGTGCTCAGGTCATCTGTTATCTGTATCTTATATCTATTTTATAAAATTCAAAGCTAAACACTGCTGCTCACAAGCATATGATGATCCGAATAAAGTAAGAAAAGCAATCCCAAGTACTCACATTGACTTAAAATTACTTGGCAGAGAATGCTACACGTCAAGGATTTTATTTTCAGACCTACCGTCTGCTGTACTTTGTCATCCCTTCATACTCTGTCTTCCCAAGTGTTGCAAGGTAAGGCCATAAGAAAGGTCAGGTGACTAATGGCTAACAAGTAATAACTTGGGACATTATCAGCTGATTCCACTACTTTTTTTCTGAGCATATGCATGGTCCCTATGCATACTATCCAATATTCTGCTGCTGGGGGGATGCTGGGACAACTTGCTTCATGTGCTGTGCCATAGGCCTAAAGTGTAATCTACTCAAGTGATTCTATTGTCCTTAGGCAAGAAGCCCAAATTTCTCAGTTTAGCTTTCCATATACTAATTTACCCAGCTAAATTCCTAGTTTCTTTTGATCTAAATTTCAGGACTATTTCTTTTATTAAGCCTTCTCAAGACTCCTGAAGCCTGATATTTCAACAACACTGAATATTTTTTTTAGTTACTGTATTTATTTTTCCAGTAGATTCACTTGTTTTCCTGTCTGTGGGTTATAAATATGGGCAGGAAACAAAACCATATCTATAAATCTGATTTGGTCTATTTTGGTGCATGTCAAAAAGAAGGTACTCCAATATGCAATGGATAAACAAAGTAATAAATCAATTCATTTAGGACTTGAGTCTTAACGTCTTAAATGGAAACACAGAACATGCTCTGTAACTACTGACATGAAAGTCACTCTACACCCTGGAGAACTGATGGCAAAATCTAGACCAGTGACAGCAAACCTTTTCAATGATATCAAACAGCCCACTTTAGCCTGTGTGCCACTAGTTTGCCACCACTGCAGTTAAATGTTAAGTGACAGCAGACTGTTTGCCAGCTAGACATGTTGGCAAAAATATGTGTATGCTGGATTTTTGGGCAGTGATAATCTCGTGCAAAATAAAGATACCACTATACTGTGTGTTGTGAAGCATTCCCAAATGTAAAACCAACAGGAAAACAAAAATGATTTGCCTCATTATCTAGAAACTAAAAGCATACCCTTCTCGTGTTAGGAAATCATACATCATAAGGAAAACCTTATCTGCATGAATATCTAAAAAGTATACTTGCTATATTAAAAAAACCTCCAACATTCATAGGAACTATAAGTGACTTGATTTTATGTTTGAAGTATATATATAGTTCCCACACTAAATACATATACATTATCTACTATATACTAAACATGTAAGTATACAGTCTTATAATTTTATCACAGTTTCAGTAAGTCTATTTTTCTGACTAAATTCTTGTTCTGTCATGTATGTCAATAATATTTTTTGCATGGAGAACTATATTACAGATAGATATGTGTTTCATTAAAAATTTCATTCCACTGTCCGTAGTTAGCAGGAAGAGTGAAACAGGGAAGAGACAAAATGGTCTCATAAGCACTGATGACTAACTTTCCACAGGCTCACTCTGATCATTGGTCATAGAGATTATTTTTTTCAGATATAGTATAAATTACATATACTATAAATGCTAGAGTTCAGCTTTCAAGATGGACTTTGCTTTCTTAGTCCAATGCAAGCTATATAATTATAAGCTAGTGTTCCCATCAAAATATACACAAGACACTTGGCAGGCTCACGTATCATGAGTGAAGGTGTAAGAATGACCCCAAGGGTAAGTGACATTTCTTACTTCTTTGAAATAATGAGCTATGCAAAATAAAATCTAATTAAGGGATAAATAAAATCTAATTAAGGAATGCACAGGTTAAAATATGTAACGAGCAACATTCTCTTTAAATATTGTAATTAATATACTTAAGAGTTCTGGGATACAGTCAAGCAGTTTCTTCACTGTTTGAAGCATCTTCGGGTGGAAGCAATGAAAAGTTTAAATATACAGTCATGGAAAGAAATTATTTGTAACCAATGTATTATTTTATGTATGCAAATATGCTTACATTCTATCAAGAAACCAAAATTTTCCAGTACACTGAAAGACAGAGGCCCTAGGCCTGCCTTTCGGACATAAGAAAAAATGTCATTAGCACCTCTGACACCTCCTGTTAGTCAGCCTTGTTGTGCTGACTCCCTGAAAAAATGAGCCAGCAAAATGTGTCTGTCATGTTCCCACAGCGACAGCAGTTTCCACAGCTTTCCCGCCTCACGTCAGCTACAGTATGACTGGTTCCCAGCCCAGAAAAAGATCAAAAGTAGGTTAGTCCCCCACTTTATTCAGAAGTTTCTTCTATTTCACTGGATGGTGAAGTAAGATCCCAGCTCAGAAATAATGCTGAAAAAGTTTGCCAGTTCTTTCTAATGTCATAAACAACCCAACAGGATATTTTAGACAATACCTCTGTGGACACATATTTTTAAAATTACTCAAGAGTTAATTAATATCTGTGAAAGACTGGAGGCAGCAACTAGTGATCCCTCAGAAGGAGAAGATAAGACACAGGGCAAGTAAGAAGGGGAAGCACTCAGGTATGACTTCAGAAAGCATTTTGTTCCTAACAAACATACTCCTAAGATACAGACACTTGCAGGACACTAAGGGACAGTGATCCTGCTTCTTTAATACTACTTAAATTCTGGTTAAAAAAAAACAGGCCTTGGTACTATTGTGGTTATTGTGAATTATAGCACTCCATAACGATAATAAAAACTTATTCACACTACAAAGTATGCTAAGGAATTTAAATAAATTAAATTCACATTTAAGCCATATGACATTATTACCCTCCCCAAAATGATTGAGGGAAAGTTTCTGTAACAAAGCACCAAGTCACACAGCCCCTAAGTGTGCTTACAAAAAAAAAATCAGTTAAAATAGTTTAAATTTACTGAACCCTTTAGCTTTTAAAAATTAAGTCTAGATTTTTAATGACAACACTGTTTAGATAACAAGACTATGACCAAAGATGAATCATGCAGAGTACCTAAGTAATTTGGAACTGGAGATCTGAGTTGCTGGCAAATCATGAAATATCCAGTTATCCTGACGCTTAAGGAATAACCACGCAAACTTTAACACAACATTAACCTTTCCTTTCAGTCAGAAACATTTCCAAAAAGACTCATCATTCTTCTACAGGATAAGAAATACAGTAGAGAAACTTAAAAGTTGTTTATGGTAAAGACTAAAGAAAAAAATCATGACATCAAAAAATGCTGATTTACCTTCTAAATCTAATATATACCAATTTAGCAAACTGAGACCAGAGATCATTCAAACATGCAGGAAGTATACACTACAAGCCAGAATGAGGACATCACAGATTGATGAAGGAATTAACCTCTTGCTTAAAATTCCCCTCTTATGGCAGTTTATTACTGATTTCATGTCTTGAGAGCTGAGCAGACATTTCTCAACAACAGGAAGAAATGTTCCATCTGCCAGAACCTCCCAAATAGTGTTTTCTGAGAGTAAGCCACATTATTTTAGTGTTTGGTTAGTAACTGAAAACACAGTCAAAATACATCTTCCTTTTTGGAAGAAAAATAATGAAGTATTTAATCCACAAGAAAAGACAGTATGCTGCATAATGCAAGAAAAAGACCTCTTGGTGAGACACGTTCTGATGCCATTGATGGCCTGCTGTTACACGAGCAGACGCTTCACTCGCTGGGCACAGAAGCAGGCTATACAGGACTGACACAGCTCACACTGACTATTTTCTTCTTTTTCTTTGGCTACTGAGCTCTGACACTCTGGCTCTACCATCATTGCTTAGTTATAATTTCCATTCTTCACCAGCAGAATCTCTAGCTCAAGCTAAATCAAAACAAAATCAAAACCAAACAAAAACAGGAAAAGCTATGTCGATGTCTGTCACAGTTCTGTGAAATTGTATCTCTATCTCTGAGAATGTCACCATTAGGCACAGATTTAACACAACCACCCATATGTCTGAAGGTCACTGTGAAAAACGAAAAGATTGGGGGCTAGGGATTTAGCTCAGCGGCATAAGCGCCTGCCTTGCAAGCAGGCAGTCATGAGTTCGATCCCTGGTACCGATAAAAAGGAAAAAGACAAAAAAAAAAAAAAAAGAAAAACAAAAAACGAAAAGATCAGGCCTCTAGTAAGCCATGAGGTGCAACAGAAAATCCCATTTAATGTGGGGTGGCTACTTCTGTCTCCATTCCTTAAGCTGAAGTATATCATGAGACACATTAGCAACTTGTATTTATACCCTTGCTTCAGCTTTCAGAAAACCAGTTTTGTTGGAAAATAATGTAGCTCTTTTCTTTAGTTTAATATTTGTATCATGATAAACCACACTGTAACTACTCATAAAAATCAATAATAAGCAAATGAGAGTTTCTCAAGGAACAATGTGTTTTTTCTGAGATAATTTTTCTGAGATAAGGTCTTGCTACGTAGTCTGGATTGCTACTAAAGTTGAGATCCTCCTGCTCACCTCCCTAGCCTGGAGTTACTGCTCTGTGCCATTGTGTCCACCTAACAAACTGCTTTTCTAAAATAAACATTTATTCAATTCAAACATGTTTTTGAGCATCCTTGGAACATACCCCACCAGTGTTTATGAATGTCACAATACCTCAACACACTCTTCAAAGCCAATTGATCTGAAGCTAGACACAGTGCTATTAGTCACTTTCAGATCTACTTAGTCACTTGTTCAAATAAAAAAATGGATTTCCAGTCTTTCTCTGTCCTTCAGGAAATGGACATTTTTGAAATGCTCAGTCCAGTTACTTTGCCAGGTTTCTCCACTGCTGAGCTAATGAAAGACAAAGATAAACTAAGGAACAATTCCAGAATAAAGGAGACTAAAGAGATATGGTCACTTAAATCAACTGATGTTCCTAGCTTACATCCTAAATCCAGAAATAGATGAAAAAAATCTGGAATGTTATTAAGGTCTGCATATTACAATACAGAATTCTATCAGCATTAATTTCCTGATTTAGATTATTGTACTATTAGCATTTCAGAAAAAGATCTTTAAAAGGAATGATAGAAGCTAGCAAAAATAGTGTGCCTGTATGATGATTATTTGGAGATTCAGGTAAAGAATATACTTCATTCTTTGCGCTGTTTATTTCAATGAGGGTCATTTGCAACTACTTCTAAAGTCTGAATTTATTTCAAAATAAAAAAAGTTTAAAAACCTTTGTGTCACACTGACACCCAGGACTATAATGAATTTAATGTACTGAGTTTCCAGTGTTTCAAAAGGAGATGATCTCAAAGCTGACTCTCTTTTCCTGTTCAAGTGCTTAGTTATTTTTGTTAAGAAGAGGTAGGTAATTTTTGGACGGTAACATCAAGTAGAAAAAAATGATAGCATAGTGGTTAGGATATCGTTTCATTTTCTAAAAAGTAGTATACTCACTGTCTAATCCAGGATGGCTGATTGTCATTAATGAGATGGATTTTGTCAATGGAGAAGAAATAGCTGATGTACAGTAATTAAATCCCTGTTGTTTAGCTCTGTGATACATCTGAAGGAAAAAAAAAGAAGTTTTTCAATATATGCTCTAATACTTCTTGATAAGCACAAAACACTTGCACACAACAGTGAAATAATGCAGACTAACAGGATGGTGAAAAGCATGTTTCTCAGTCAGACAGACTTGGATCCCAATCTGCCTCCGGCACTTAACACCTGTTACTCAGTTTTTCTATCACAAATGAGGATGATCTGATACTCATCCTTTATGTTCCTCACAGCATCTAGCAACATTTCAAGCTTAATAAGTACTGAGTAAGTACTTGCAGAATATAGTACAATCTCATAAAAATAATTTCACCAAAGATACCAATCTACCTGTACTACTTGTTCTTTGAAATCTAAACCCCTACAGAGTTCAGTAGGATATTAGTAATAAATATTACTTTGATTTTAAAGAGCTGGAAACAAATAAAAGTAAAATGTGTTTCAAGATCATATGTAAAACAGCTATTTAAAAAACCAGCTATGCATCTGGGAAAAAAATTCAGCTCTTTTTCATTTTTTTCTTCTAAGACTGATTCTCCATGAAGATGAGAGTGACTATAATGCGGTAGTTTAAAACCCATAGTAAATTCCCAACAGCTACAAGGTTGTAGAAGTTCCTCGCGAAACACCCCTGAAAATCAGCTGTCACCTTTTTGATGATAAGGGTTCTCATCCCTTTTGAGAGAGACCGGTCTAAGTGTTAATCAATGTTAATTATTATTACGGGGGCCAGACATTTAGCTCAGCGGCATAAGCGTCTGCCTGGCAAGTGCAAGGTCATGAGTTCGATCTCCAGTTCCCCTCTCAAAGAAAGTAGTCACTGTTTGATTGTCTGTCTTTTTATGCTTTGATTTTGTAACCTGAACAACTATTTCTCAGATGACCATATGTAATTATCAACTAGTGATTTCTTAGTGGTATCTTTTTTGAAGTTCTGTATTATTTCTACCCTTTTTTGTTTTGCTTTTTTCTCTCCACATTAAAAAAAATTATTACAAGAAGGATAAAATCTGTCTCTTCCTAACTCATATGCTGAAAGGGAGGCAGTGAAAATTCGTCATTAGCATTAACTTAAGTGGGCCAAAGGCATCTGATTAGTTTGTTCCATGTGTAACCATGGAATCTGAGGCAAACAGTTGCTATGTTTCAAATACAACTCTGAGGTCTGAAAAATGACCTCAGTGAAAGGCAGAGACTTTCAACAGGAAGTTGGCTACAGGCAATTTTTGCAGATCACACAGACACAAGCAACTCAAATACCCACTCTGAGGTTGCACAGCAGATGAAAAAACATGGGTAATTCTGGACAGGCATTCAGTGCAAAGCATTAAAATATTGACAATTATCCACAAATGTCCCACTTTAAAAAAGCTAAACCAGGAAACCCATTTTGGAAAGACATCAATGCTAGTAACCACTTATTAAAAGACAAGGTTACATGTCAAATTCAATCTCACAAATAGTAAGTATTAGCTTAAGAAAATGTATCACACAAGATACACAAATATAAAGAACTACAAAGAAAATGTCTATAAATATGTATAAAATATGTAAATAATACATGTATATAGAATATATAAAGAAAATTGAAATGACCTTATTCATTAAACTTGTCTATTTTAAAGACATGGGAAGAAGCAGTGAGACCAACAGTCAGGAATTATGATTTTGTTCACAAACCCACAAACAATTTTTATGTTTCCCTGGCCTTGAAAATGATCTAAGGATTCTATACATGTGAAATGCAATTTACTTTTCAAATTTCATGGCTTTATCTTTATCAAATCTGTACTAAGTAACTGCCAAACACTTTTTTCTGTTACAATTAGGCTTAACAAAACTAAACCACCTACTTCTTTAAGTATATTTTCGGTATTTTTTTCTAATATAGTAGACCAAGCAGAAATTTATTAAAAAGTGAGAAAGCTCTTTTAGACCTTAAATTTGATTGTCAATTAGACCTATAAGATTCTCTCTATTCACGTTGCTTCATATGAATATAAATGACATATTCATTACTAAGATAATCTTTCAATGCCAAATTTGTGGTCAGGGCATTGTTAGGTAGTAGGACACAATACAGAATTAAATTCCTATACAAAACCCTTAACTATCAAGTCAAAGAATATGTTGTTACATTTTTGTTAGTTTCATTAGATTTCTACCCAAAGTTGCTACTCAGACATACATGTTTTTTACTTGTTTGTTTTATTAGATATGTTTCATTTAGATGAATTAAGAGGAATCCTTTCAGAAAGGTGTTCTTGGCACAAGAAGAAAAAAAGAACTGGGGGAAAGGTAGGACGCTAAAAAAAATTCTTACCTCACAAACTATCCCAGAGATAATGAGGGGCCTGAGAAAATGACAACTAAGAAAAAGTTACTTGACTTGACTGAGAAGCCAGGCCATGAGCTTCAAGAGAATGGCAGGAAAGGACATTAACAGATGTAGCAGGTGAAAAAGAGAAGGCAGGAGTACATACGCTCCAAAGGACTCTGGCAGGGACATAAAGCAGATGAATCAACGGCCATTTCCTGGCTGGTACGGTTAAGACAAAGAATATTATTTCTATGAAAAAACTTAGACGATTTTTTTTTTTCTTTTTTCTTTTTATTGGTACCAGGGATTGAACTCACGACTGCCTGCTTGCAAGGCAGGCGCTTATGCCGCTGAGCTAAATCCCCAGCCTCAAGACGATTTTTTTGAAAACTGTAACTTGAATGATGAGTTTAAGACTCATTTAGTACTGAGGTGATTAAGAAGGAAAATTTCAAATCTATCTCCTAGAAACTTTGCCAACTCTTAAGTTTGCTCTGATGGAACATTTAAATTTGTGCAACTTACTGGTATTAATATTCAGTGCTAAAAACTTGCTTTACTGATAGACTGAATATATTATTTAATGGGTAGGCTATCTTTGCTACCAGCTTTGTATTAACAGAGATTTTGCCATTCAATGTTCTTAAAATGTTGGTATTTTGGGACATAGCTTCTTTCCCAAATTAATAATATACATTTCAGCCTTACCTGCTGATCAAACATCCTATGTTCTCTTTGGTGTGACTCCAGATCCTCTTCTGAAAGTGACATTAAAGAGTCACCCCGTTCCTCTCCACTGAAAGTATGCCTGAGCTCTTTGGAGTTTACAGCATTAACTTCTAAAGATGAGGACAGCTTGTTTCCAATGCCAGCTGCTCCTATTAAGCCTTCAAGACTGAAACTGAACACAGAGCACAAGGGTTAACTCATTGAATTTGTAGGTCTCACAATAGAAGGAGGATCCCAAATCTCCTTAGTTGTACTTCCTTTGTTCATCTGTTATTTCTATGTCATCTAGCAAAACTAAAAGGACACAGCACAAATGAGTACCACCCCCTGCCCAGGTCTTAAAATGATGAGAAAATGAAATGCACAGAGATTGTCTTACCTTATTCCGTCTATCTAAACATTGAACCAGCTAAGATCATTTTCTCAGATTTTTTTCAATATATATACCATATGAACAGACAGTGTTATTTTATTTGCATTCATATATGGATGCTTTTCATTTATCTGATATGATTAATTTTTGCCATAATCTAACACTAATGCCAAATTTTAAGAAACTATAAGTAACTTTCAAAAGGCAAACTGGGTTACCTGCCTGTCTCCATTAAGTGGCGTTTATAGCTTTAAACAATTTTTTGCTGACCTTTAGAATTCTCTATAGGTTGAGTTCTACCCCAAATATCCTTGTGCTACTCATGGTCACTACCATTTATGCACACTGATGAGACAACTACTAACAGGCTGTCTGAGAATTGTTAGTTGCAGAAATTCACATGTAATGCTTTAAAGAACAAATGCAGAAAAGCTACTGAGACTAACAGTTTTAATTTTTGTGCTGGTATGGGTAAAAGAAAAAAAAATTTCCACAGTCTGAAATTGTAGTTGGGAATCCTAGGATATTTTGTGGTCTGCAGAACAAAAAGTTATGCTCTGATAGCAGGAGACTAGAAAGCAAGATTTTTATCTTTGGAGTTGCTACCTCCAAACTGCTAAGATAATTTGTATTTATTGTAACCTCAGCAGGGACTTTAAAATATGCAAGATCTCAAAATACAATTGTTGTGGGCATCCTCAGTTAACAACTAGCTGGAACTGTATTTGGAAGTATGCTGACTCTACTGTATTTAATTATTTCCACCCTGGAAAAACATTACAGGTAATTCTGACCATTAAGTTCATACTGCCATACTAGAAGCATTTTTATTTGAGTTTTTCCTTTTATTTTTATTTTTTATTTTTGCTTCATGAGTTACTTATTTTGGACTAAAACCATATGTTTGTGTTTTTCCCATTGGGTAAATTAAACAATAGGTTAGTTTTTCTTATTTTAATATAACAATACAAATCATGACTAAGAATAAACGTCTCCGTAAAACTCTTTTTCAATACAAGGGATAAGAACTGCAGCTAAATGAAGAAGAAATTTAGTTTTGTATTTGTGAACTTGAAAAGCTGAAAGAACCAGATCTATGCTTACTAGAAAACTTAATCCTGAAAACGTTTTAGTAATTAAATCTGGCTGGGTAGGGCTGGGGATTTAGCTCAGCGGCATAAGCACCTGCCTTGCAAGCAGGCGGTCGTGAGTTCGATCCCCGGTACCGATAAAAAGGAAAAAAGACAAAAAAAAAAAAAAAAAAAAAAATCTGGCTGGGTAGTTGACAAAAGAATATGAAACAAAGTGGTCTCTGATTGTGGGATCTAAATATGGTAATGGACTTGGAAACAAAACAGAAATCAGTACATCTTATTAGCTGCCTTGCTGCTCTCACTGTTATTCTAAGGATCTGGGAATTTGGACAGCCCAGAACAAACAATTGTAGTCTGCTATATCACAGAGACAAGTCTGTGCAGAAAATACTAAATCTACACTGACTTGATACAATATGGTGTACCAAAGTCTATCATCAGGTTAAACCACCTGGTGATGCCTATCACAAAGGCAACAGAACACACAGACATAGCAGGCTGCTTATACACATCCAGCCATACAGAAGCCAGCTCCAAGCCAAAGCCAGACGTCACATTTTCGGATTTCCCATTTGGTGGCCAGACATGTAACGATACTGTACCTTCTGTAATTAAAGTCAGCACTCAAGGCAGCAGAATATTGCACACCAGAAGGACACCAGCTCATACTGGGGATGACATCAAAGGCAGAAACAAAGGAGGAAGAAAAGTGAAAACAGGTACAGGGTTATTAAGATCAAAAAAGAAAGGGCAGAGTTAGAGACAGATGGATTTACTTGTCAAAAAATTTAGAAATGCAACACTGAGAATTTAGAAAAGGACTAGATTAAAATACATGCTATCGTGCTGCTCCATGGATATCCATCTAGACAATGTTTTAAGAACGAACAAACTCTTACAGGAAAACCAGTCCAACTTAAAACCCAAGAATTTACTCTTCTGATCCTTGGGGAATGAGCCACCCGCTCAGAGCTTCCTTTCCAGGCCTTCTATGGACTGCATTTCAATACCTGTTACTGGACAGTCTCCGTAGAGCCCCTTCTCTATGTGGCCTTACAGAATATCTCTACGCTGGATTGTAAGTAGAGGTGACAACCTGTGCTGAGGTAGACTTACTGAGTCATTATTTCCCTTTTTTTACGTGTTTCCATTAGCGGTCCAATTAAATCAGATAATTCTAATTAAATCAGACAATTCATGAATATTGCATGTCACATTCACATTCATCTGTACTTCTTTCTTGGCAGTACTACTGGAAATTGAACCCAGAGCCTCCAGCATGTACAAAAGCACTCTACCAGTTTTTGGCTTTTAATATTGAGATATATAGTCTCACTAAGTTGCCAAGGTGAGCCTCAAATTTGTGTTTGTTTTGTCTCAGTCTCTTTTTAAAAGCTATTCACTAGGCTCTTCTGCTAAAAATAAGCAAGTAACAATGGCACATTCCCTTGTATTTTAGTGATAATTAAGGGACTTTTTACTCCTAGAATTCTATGGTACTGAGAAACACATTAAAATATGTTTAACGAGTAAGCTGATATACATTTTTCTAACAAGATTGTACAAAGTCCAGTAGTTCCTTGATTATCTACTTCCTTTATTACTAACCACACATAGCAGTGAGAGAGACAATCTGGAGTTGGACAGGCTAAATAAATATAAATCAACTTTTTAAAAACAAGGAATTCAAAATATTAGGTACTTTGTAAAGGGTGCTATTACCAATAGGTCAGGGCTTTTATGAGGGTGGTAGTGGTGGAGGTTTACCTACACTTACTGGTTTTTTGATTAACAAACACCCTCACTTAAAAGTCACTGCTGCTATTTGGATCTTCAGTTCTAAATATGCTTTTATATTCAACAGTGGAATAAGAAAACAGTTGCTGGACAACAGTAAAACTAGTCAGCTCCCTATTCAATTGCACAGATGGGAAGGCCTGCAGATACCAGGACTCCAGAATTTATCTAACAACTGTTTGCCAACTAGGGATCTGGGCAGAGGAAAGATAACAAGAAAATGTTGAAAGGATACAGAAACTTTCGCTATAGTTTTCCTAGAAGGCAATTTTTATTGTGCAAACAAAACTTAAATAGCATAAAACACTTTAAATCAAGAATAAACAGTTTGAAACTCAGAAGTACAAAAGCAGAAAGGAAAAATACACAGCTGAAATATGTCTCTAGTCTGGCAAAGAGATCAGAATAACTTACAATTTACTTGTATGAGCAGAAGCAAGATATGTTTTACAAACATACACAGACTGAGAAGTCTAGTCTCTAAAGTTATTAATTTAATTTTAATCTCCAAGTCATTAGTAAATAAGCATACTACACATAAATACTCAACTTAGTAAGAAAAGCAGAATGTGGCAAATCAGGAACAATGCATAAAATTCTTAAAAATAATGTCTATTGTTTCCAACATTCTCTTTACTTTCAGAATATATAATAATGATGTGGACAATTAGAAGACATTTAAGATGAAGAGCAACACAAAGACAAAAGGACATGAGAGTTTTCCTAAGGATCCAGTAAGTTACAGGTGGTTTATGCCTGTTCTTCCTAGATCAGAAAACTCCTTTTATCATTAAGAGTATTTCTGAGAGTATTCTCATTTCCTTAATTAGCAGAGGTAACACTGAATGATTCTTTGGCTTTGAAATCTAGGAAGTTTCAGTTTTTAAAACACCATCCCTCCCCCAAAATACTTGTTGGATTTTAAGTTTTAAAAACTTGTAATTTATAGATCACGTTTTTCCTATAAAGAGGGGACTCATTCATGGTAAAACTGTAACTGGAGTTGTTTAGGATAGTTCTATCTGTATGCGAACTTGCACTGCACCGTGAATATGTCATCTAAGTTCACATGGAGGAATTTTTAATAGAGGGTCAATAACTATAGTTCCATAGATTTCAGGTACTTTCTACTGAAGGCTTTTCAAAAAGCAACATAACCAAGAATGTTTAAAATTAAAATTGGCTTTTTGCCTGAAGTCTGGAATTAAAGGAAACATCTACTTGAAGTAGAAAGATCACTATGTGTCTGCTTCCAACAAACAGATTTTGCTAATGAATGAAAATACTTCTTTATAAATGTTTCTTAATTCAAGAAGCTAACAGTAATACAACAAAATTTTGGATTTCTTATGCTTTTTCCAAACAACCCAAAAAAAAAGATCAATAATAACTTCTGAACCACAGAAATTAAAAACAACCACCAAAACTCTTCCCAAACCTGGCAGTTTCTGACTAGAAACCACTTTTCCATTTATAAATCACTTATTTGTAAGCTTCAAAATTTTACCTGACCAATAATAAATCCAAAGACTGAGAGGTCAGCTATCCCTCTTACTTTTTTCTTTTTTTCCCCCCTCTTAAATACTTTTTGAAATCCTATGTCAACAATGGAACAGAAAGTGCCAAGTGGCCAAGAACTAAAGTCTCTCATCTGTCTCACTACGTAGTTCAGGCTGGCCTCAAACTCATAGCAATTCTTCTGTCTCAGCCGCTCACACCTAGTTCTTGTATTATTAAAGAATATGTTGAAAATATTTTAACAACTGTGTGAGCACACACATACATATTTTTGACTCTTGGGGGGTGGTGGTAACTCTCCAGTTTTGATTCAATAGGCACAATATGGAAAGTTCTTTGAAATCTCCTACTAAAATTTGCCGAAGTCTTCCAGACCAGTAGGTGCAAGACAGAAAATGTATTCCATTCTTTTAAAGACATTAAAGGGGGCTGGGGATATAGCTCAGCGGCAGAAGTGCTGCTGGTCCTGAGTGCAAGGTCCTGAGTTCAATTTTCGGTACCAAAAAAAGAAAAGAAAAGTTAAAGGAACAGGAAAAGTAACTTATATGGAATGAACATAAGCAATTAATAAATACTATATTTTATTTGTCTGAATTAGAACCAGAATTTCCAGAGCAGTGGGAGGTGTAGCCCAGTATCATACTTTCCTAGCATGTACAAGGCCCTGTATTCTACATTTAGCAACCCCCAAATCCACAAACAAAACATCCAGCATGGATTAAGCACAATAAAGGCTTGTTAGTATATGCTCAGAGGCAGTATGGTTAGTCCATTAAGGTAGTGAACTTTGTACCTTCTCCTATGAATGGGAGGCCTCCTGACAACATCCCCAAGAACTCGATTTGAACTGAAAATGAATGGTGGAAGAGGTCAGTGATGCGAGTGAAACAAAATGGGATACAAATGCATGAAACATACAGATATCACAACAGGAGGAGAGATAATGTCCAAAGACATATAGTACAGGAGGTAAGGGAATGAAAGAAAGCAGTATGAGAAATACATGAGAATCAAAAGGCCTAACAATTTCTGTGAAGGGCCACTTGGCTTCCTCCTTGCTCCAAGGAGTTAATGCAAGTTAAAAGTTTAAGTTATAAACTTAACTTATAAGTTATAAATTTATTACATTTTTGACTCTTGAGGGGGCAGTAACTCTCCAGCTTTGATTCAATAGGGACAATATGGAAAATTCTTTGAAATCTCCTACTAAAAGTTGGCAAAGTACTTATTACGTAAGTTATAAATTTATTACATTTTTATACAAGTAAGGAAAATGTCACTTGAAACCTTAGAAGGATTTTCTTTAAATCTTTAAAATTCAGGTTATACTATATATTGGTAGTACCATAAAAATTAGTCAAATTATTAAAATTAAAATTCAAATTAAAACTTAAGTCTCATTCCATTATGCTAGGTAATCCTTACAACTAAATTCAAACAGGCAATGCCATGACATGCAGACTAAAAATATAACTGACTGTGGCAAGAGAGTTCTCATGCCAGTCCCATCTTAAAACCACCACATAATCTTGGGCACATGATTTAATGTGAGCTTCAACTTCCTCATTTGAGTCACATGATACAAACATATAAAACTCTGAAACGGTCCACACACGTTGTAAAGAAAAATTGATTATGTAAGTTCTTGTTCCTTGACTGCTGTATTAACTAAGAGAAGAATGTACTATCAACAGACTTCCCTGACTTCTGGATAGGATCACTCCCCTATCATATTGTTTTTAAAATAGTTTTGAATCTCTTAAAAAAGTACATCAAGCATAAACCTGCAAAGGCAAGCACTTAGAAATTGATTTTTGTACAACCTAGGATTTAGGAAGCATATAAAAATAACTTAAGAAAACTGCTTATTTCAGTTTTACACCCTTAACTCCACCATAGAAAAATATGGAATTGAAGAAAATACCTAAGAGACCAGAAACTTGCCTTCTATTGACCTTGGCTGAATGATATAAACTACCTGCACTAGTCTTCTCAACTGCAAACACAGGGATAACATCACCTGGTTCATGGAGAGGATTAAAAAACTGAATGAGGTAATGTGTTGTAAAAGGAGCTTGAAAAGATGCGCAAACTAGGGGAGTGGAAGGCATTATTGTGAGTTCCATGAAAGCTGGAACTTTATTCTGTTTACCGCTGTATCTCTAGAACCTAAATCACTGCTTAATATACACTGGCTAAATGAAAGAAGGAATGAATGAATGTGATTACATGACGTGCACTACCAGTTGGCTGTGATCTATGGAAAAAGAAATTTTTTCAAAATAATTGACTCAGCTGAATTGTTTACATTAATTGTTTAAAAATAAAAACAATTCCATCAGACTCCTCTGTTAATTGGTTTACTTGATTTAAGACAGTAGCTCTAGAGAAGTGCAAGCTGCTAAATACAGTAAATAGTACTTATTCTTCAGAGTTAAAACTATTTGCTTAGAAATTTATCAAGGCAGCTGATAACAGAGGCCAAATCTCACTAATCTTCTCCATACACTGTTATCAAAGTGAAGAACTAAAATGGGATGATACTTGTGAAAATCCCTGAGACTGGACGATACACAAGCAAATACCAACGATTTTATGATATGTCATTACATTAGCCTTATGGTCATTTGAAGGATGAGATATATATAGTTAGACTTTTTTTGGAATTTTCTGTACTAGAAACAGATGCCTATAATTCGCAGGAAGCATTCTGAATAACTTAAACAACTGGAAAACTTCATGTTAATTTCTTAATTAAGAATTAAAATGAAACCATTTCCTCCAATATTTTCTAATTCGTGAATTTAATTAACAAAACACTACTGTTTATTAAAAGTTCACTATAAGAGTTACATTTATTATTACAAATATTTTGAAAATCCAGTATTACAGATGAGGAAATTAAAGTCCAGAACGATCCAATGACTTGTCCAAGGCCATCAAGTTACAATTGCAGGCATCTGAACACAAATCTTCTTTATTCTAAAGCCTATACTCTATCTTCTATACCATGGTGTTTCCTAAAATCTTTTACCAATATAACAACAGATCAGACACTTCTTAAAAGCAGACAGACACTAAGACATTAAATAAACACGCTACCATCTCACCTCCGGTGGTTCATTTCTGCATCACTGGCTGCGTTTTTTCCAGGACCCCAGCTGTGCCTCCTGAACGGGGAGAGAGAACGCATGGAGCTCCTCCTGCAGTTGGCAGGTACTTCTGTAATGCTGTCCATTTCCTCCTCCTCAATCTCGCCAGAGGCAGCAGGCTCACTCTCATTCTCCTGGCCCTCAGCTTCCATACCATGGCTGCAGAAGCCATCAGAGCTTTGCTGATCTCTGGCCCTGTTTAACTTTGAAATCTGAGGGAGGGACACATCACTGCCTTGAGAAGAATGTCGATCCAGGGAAGCCGTGTCATCGGTAGAACTGGATCCCACGATATCACAGATCTCGGGCTGCAGTGGGGAGAAAGCAAATGCAGCTGAAAGTGGCAGGATCAAGCAGAGCCTCAGTTATTCCAGACCAACCCATGGTTTCCCGGTTAGACTAGAGGGGCAAGGTCAATAAATGACCTTAAGCACAGTTGCTTTCTTTTCCATTTTTAAAAGTCCATTATTTCAACAAGATACGAAACACATTACCACTTTCTATGGTCTCACTGCAGCTGCTAGACTAGAAGTACATTATTTTTTTCTTACAGAAGATTTTTAGGTCAATTCTTTCAATCAATTCAATCAATTGAAATGAAGTAGGAACCCTCTGTCTCTGGGATTTCTGCTGTACAAAAACTAATTTCATGTCACTGAGGTTTCAAAGGTTTTTAATGGAAGGAAAGCAGCCTTCATGCCTTCAGCAACACGATGAAACTAGTATTTCAAAAGCAAGTACATGATTGTTTTTAAGTGCCCTTCTGTAAGGCATGGGACACCACAATCCCCAACTTGAAATTATATTATAAAGCTACTGTGATAAAAAGCAGTGTGGTGCTGAAAAGAAAAACTAACTCAAAGATCTTTCACAAACAACTCCAGACTTACTCAGTCACCTTATCTTTGACAAAGATACCAAAAACATTAACTGGAAGAACAGCCTCGTTAATAAACGGTGCTGGAAAAACTGGCTTTGCGCATGGTAAAGATTAAAACTGGACCCAAGTATCTTTCACCATGCACCAAACTAAACAGAAATAGATGAAAGATCTAAATATTAAAACAAAACATTAAATCTGCTGGAAGACAGAATTGGTAAACCTCTTGAACACACTGGTATAGGCAGAGACTTTATGGATAAAACCCTGGTAGCATAGAAACCATCATGAACAATCAACAACTGCGACTTTATCTTATTAAAAAGCTTTGGCACAGCAAGAGAAATCATCAACAATGTCAAGAGACAACCTATCATCTGGGAAAACATTGTTTGCCAGCTGTTGTTCAGACAAAGGATTACAACCAAGAACATATAAAGAACTCAAAAATATCTAGACACCCAAATTTAGAGGACTAATCCAAAAATGAGCAACAGAGATAAATATCCACTTCTCAGATGAAGAAATAAAAACAGTGAACAAATACATGAAGAAATGTTCAATATTACTGGCCACTCAAGAGATGCAAATTGAAACACTGACATTCCATCTCATTCTGGAAAGAGCAGCTATTATAAAGAAATCAACCAACAACAAATGCTGGAGGGGCTATGGGGGGAAAGGAGTCCTGCTCCACTGTTGGTGGAAATGTAGACTGATACAACCACTATGGAAATCAGTGTAGAGCTTTCTCAAAAAATTAGGATAAGAAGCCTCATTTGACTCAACTATTCCTTCTTCTGAGTACTTTTCGAGAATTAAAAACACTATACCATGGTGATACATGTGCATTCAAGTTTATAGCAGTGCAATTTTTAATAGCCAAATTTTAAGTGCTCTTCTGCAAAGTGCAGAATAGTTTATGATCCCACCTTAAGTCAGTCACAAATAAGTTAAATGGGAGAAAGTTATTGCTTCTTTTCGTTTCACTAACAACTGGCTGGGTGCTATGCAGCCATATCTATCTACATGAAATATTCAGTACTGGCAATGTTATCTTTGGTATAGTGACCATGGTCTTTCCCTAGCCAATCAATCTTTAGAGCCTAAGGACTCTGGTCCTAGCAGTCTGACATTCTACTTGTTGAAAGACACAAAAAATGCAGAATATTAGGATAAAGGAAAGATGAGCTGTATGATGGAGGAGGGGGAAATTATCTAAGAGATACACAACCACAGTCTTAGCTACAAATGTGGGGACTGCCTTAATGTCTTTATTTGCTCTCTCATAGGATAGGGAAGGTCATACTGTGACTTTTCCACAATATATTCCTAATCAGCCAGTGGACTCAGGGTTTTAAAGAGTGAAGAAATACATAGTTCTTAGACTTTAAAAATTATGAAGGTAAATAGGTCTTTTCAATTATAAAGTAGGAAATAATTCCTATACTCAAAGGAGAGTCTTTTAAAGGTTTAACACTTTTATCAAAGGCATGTTATGTTCTGAAAGTGCCTTTATGTCTCTGGGCCTGGATTTCGCCAGCTACTATATAATTTTTTATATAAAGTTCTACATAATTTTCTATATAAAAGATGAATTGCTTTTAAAAATATGTCAGATAAGAGTGAAATAAATACAGAGGGATGGCATGACAGGTCAGAAAACTGAGGCCCGGGTTATTTACTAGACTTTCTCGATTAACCCGGTCAGTAAGCAGCAGAATTGAGAATTGAATGTAGTTTGATTTAGACTCTAACTGCCCCATTCCATTATGTCAATTGTTTTCAAAAAATTCTATAAGGACAACATTTTAAACACAGTATCAAAAAAAGTGCCTGGGTAAAATTCAAAACAACTCACAACTATTCCATGACATAAATTCTAAATTGCGGTAAGTATAAGTATTATTTTAAAACAAAACTGCTGATTGTTCTTTTTAACTTAATAAGGGCTAATGAAATCATCTTTAAAGATTCCTATTCCTGCAGTCACTCTGCACAGAAAATATAAATGGTCATAATTACCAACTTTAGAGAAAACTTCTCGAATTTCTAAGCTTTTTCACTATTCTGTAGACTTTGCCTCAAATATGTATCTTTTTCAACATGTGTTCTTATTCAAAAGTAGAGTTTTTTCAAGTGTAATTAATTAAGATTCGCTCATAGTGGAGTAGGGTGAGGCTTACATTCAACATGAGTTAGTCATGTCTTTGTAAGAGAAGAAGAGTTGCAGGGTCAAGACACATACCATGTAAAAGCAGAAACAGAGACTGGACTACCCAAGAAATGTCATGGACCATAAACAAGCACCAGGGACTAGCACAGAAGTGTGGAATGGATTCTCTCTCAGAGAAAGCAATCTAGCCAAAACTGAATGAGTATCAAGTAAAATGTGTGACAAGCCTATTCTAAAACACACAATAAAGGGTTCAAAACTCTGAATTAAAAATTCAAAAACTCTGAATTAAAAATTAAAAATTCAAAAACTCTGAATTAAAAATTTCCATTTACCATGTACATTTCCTATCAATTAGCTCTTCCCATCTGGAAACGAACCTGACAGTGGAATAGATGCTTCTTCCTCACTTTGGCATCTAGTATGAGAAACATACTGCCTTGAAGGGGAAAAACAACAAACAAACAAACACTGGTACTTCACCAATTTGAAACTCATAAAATAACCATCTATCCTTTGCAAGACATTAAAACAAAATCTTCAGTGGCCTAATCATACATTATTTTTAACATGGAGAGAGTTATGTAAAATGTATCTTCAACATAGCCTTTCCTCCTGGTGTGTGCTAGGATATTTTCTTGGTGTGGGATTTTAACTCTTAATGATACAATTTCTTCAGTTTTGCATTCTTGATAATAAGTCATATGGAATAACATTTTACAAAAGTATTATTACTGTATTCAATTCTTATTATGAGCTACAGATTGTTACTTTAAAAGACAACATCTAGAAATTATTAATACGGAGCTCAAATTATCAAATACTAAGGCAAATGTTACAGTTTGTGTCTGGATGCTCCCCCAAAGCCTTATGCAGCCATAGGGGGACAGACTTTGCATAGACAGCTGAATCCAGAGTTTGTGATTGCTTCACTGTCTAGTGCTGGGACTGGGACTGTGAATGCCCTAGGGGGGTAGCCTGCATACACTGTAAGGGAGGAAAAGAGGCTCGTTCCACTCTTTTGCTCTTGTTAAGTTGCTATCTTCCTTGCCATGAACTGCTCCCCTCTGCCACATTACCCTGCCCGGAGCTAGCTGATTATGGACTAAAACAGCTGGAAACTGTGAACTAAATAAACCTACTTTAATTTTGGGCATCAAATATTTTGTCTCAGCAACAAGAAAAGTAATGAACACAGCAAATAGTATTCTTGATCCCGAACTGAATCTCAGAGCATCTCTAAACTAATGTTTGCCAAGATTTTTTACATGTTGTAGAAGCAGCTTGCCAACTTCATGTCTTACATTATCCTTGCAGAAGACAAAATAGCCAGTGGTCAGACCATCAAACCCAGAACATGATTATTATCTTTCTATATGCTAGCTATGTTGACTAGGACTAAGTCACTCTCTTCATTTTACCTTGTAGACTTAAACAGATTTAAAATTAGATTTACAGAGGTTAGAAATTATAAAAGGCCTGTTGAAAGGCACTATTTAAATTATGATGGCACATAGTAAAGGGAAAACAGAGATTTTACAAATTTCGGGTTGGGGGTGCACCTTTCCAGTCCCCAAATCCATTAAAACTGAAGTTCTTGGATCTACCAAGTAAGCAATACAAGAACTACTACTTCCTCCATTCTCTCTGCCCACCCCCATACCAGATTAGAAGGAAGTTGTTCTTCCACTTACATATCAGAAGAAAGTAAGTTATGGCTTCTTATGTACAATGTCCCATGCCTACTGAGTAAAGTTCCTCTCTTAAAGAATTCTTGAACTATTTATCTTAAAATGTCTGCTAACTAAATAACTTCCAGGGATTTAGGAAATTACTCCTGCTTTCAGGAGAAATGGAGCCATGGGATTAGTTTATCTAGGGTATTTCATTTGCATATAGTTAAAACGAGGTGGTTTTTAAATCTTAAAGCAGATGGCTTAAGAATCCTTTCTCTTTTAAACTGAAGTTTGTAGGCAGGGCTGTAGTAAGAACAAAGGTAAGTAAAAGAAATAAAAAAGATAGAAGAGAAATTAAATGGGTGAGAGTTGTGTATATATGTAAGAAAAAGTATTAGTGAAATAGCCTTAGTCTACATCTGACACTGACACATAAATCCTTCCTCCTCTGAGTTTTTACCAGTGGTTTTCCTCATGCATTTGGGGAAATGGACACTTAGAAGTATCATCTTTTCCTTTGTACTTGTCTAATTCTGAAAATCTGCAAAAGGCATCAGGCTAGTGAAAGTACCTAGA